TGCAATGCACCCTAAATAACAAATAGTAACACGCTATTAATTATTCCACTTATTAATTTATTTACTACTACTGTATTATTGATGAGGCATTTCTCATTATTCCCAATTTTTTAATATTCCCGGCTCTCGTTACTTTCATCTCACAAATTTAAATACACGATCCTGCCAATAACACTGTTACCCATTATAATTGCAACTATCATCGTTGAGAAGTCAATTAATAATCGACAGTTTCATTAAATAGAATGTGAAATAGATACGCGCGGCCGTAAGTGATACGTACATATCCACGTATAATATGGCACGCAGTTACAAAGGGAAAGATATTAAAATGGGCCGGAATTACGAGGCAAGATCCACATACGCACCCCTCACTGAAAGCAAATGCAAGCGACGCGCGCGACAATGGAAAAATTCTGTTTACACAGCCTGTCAGCTCGTCGTTTGTTCACGTACACGGAATACTACCGACGTGAAAGAGAAACCCGAAGCGTCGAGCTTCCACGTATGTATAGCGATGAATAAACATCATTAGAACGCGAACGAAACTATGAATGACTTTGATTTCTATTGTTCCGCCACTTTTTTTTTTTCTCTCTTCTCTCCTTTTTCAAAGCGATTTATAAGATCGTTCCATTTACATATTTCTTTGGGAAAATATGCATGAAGTTATTGTACATGGTGTCTCGTTTGCTACAGTACCACATATTTTGTTTACGTCATTATCGTCAATCGCAGTGGAGGAATCCCCCTTTACGACTGTACCGTGACTTTGTATCGAAATAACAAATGTACGAGGTGTTGATTCATTGATTCATTCGATCCACAAAACCGTAGTTTATTAATAATTTGCAGTTCGCTCTGATAGAAATATTGACTATTGTTTAATTGTGATTAGACTGCAGATTTTTGAAACATTGCACAGAATGCATTTGATATAAAAAAATATGCATATAAGAATATAATATGCAATATACAATATAACATATATAAAAAAAATATGTATAATGAGAAACGAGAGATTTGTTTTTTAATTTTTCACAATAAATTGTCTTCCTGTTTCTTTAAGTTTTTAATAATAATGACTAACAATAAAACACAAGTTATATAGAGTTGAAATTTAATTTGTATTTGTCGTTTTTCAGTATTATTAAAATATAATATAAATTAAGCAATAAATAATAATATTATATTATTATATTATGCTATTAAAATATAATGCAAATTAAATAATAAGTAACAAGGTACAAATTATAAACAGTTGAAATTTAATTTATACACTTTCTTTCTATAGTATATAGTACAATTTGTGTACACATTGTTTAATTTGTGTAAATTAAGCAATAAATAATAATATTATATTATTATATTATGCTATTAAAATATAATGCAAATTAAATAGTAAGTAACAAGGTACAAATTATAAACAGTTGAAATTTAATTTGTACACTTTCTTTCTATAGTATATAGTACAATTTGTGTACACATTGCTTAATTTGTGTAAATTAAGCAATAAATAATAATATTATATTATTATATTATACTATTAAAATATAATGCAAATTAAATAATAAGTAACAAGGTACAAATTATAAACAGTTGAAATTTAATTTATACACTTTCTTTCTATAGTATATAGTACAATTTGTGTACATATTGCTTAATTTTTGTAAATTGAGCAATAAATAATAATATTATATTATTATATTATACCATTAAAATATAATGCAAATTAAATAATAAGTAACAAGGTACAAATTATAAACAGTTGAAATTTAATTTGTACACTTTCTTTCTATAGTATATAGTACAATTTATGTACAACGTGAGGTCGCAGAAATATTGTATATTCTGACATATTCATTATTTATTTATTAATTTTAAAGAATTGTCACCAACGATCTTCTATCTATTCCATTTTAAATTTATAATTTTTATATAGATGAATGTTAAAGATGAATAACGATAAAAATAAACATTCACGTTAGATGAATGCGACAAAAAAATGTAGATAATTTCAAAAGATTAATACAACCAACGCTGCATTGTTTCTTGCTAGTTAATTGAGGTTTTATCAAGATAATTAATATTTTTCTCTTCCGTTAATGGAACCGTACATTGTTATCTATCTGTATACTGTACAGAAAATGCAAAATTAAATTTAACTGCACTGTCAAATGAAAAAAAGAGAGTAATTAAGAGAGAAAATTTAAAGAAACAGAAATAATATAATTTTGGTGAAAATACATACACTAAAATTTTCTTGAAATTTATATATTACGAAATTTAAATATACATATTTGAAGCAAAATGTTAAAAATATTCAGTAAATATAATAGATTCTAATGAATTTTTAAAGAAGCTTGTCCATAAAAATTTTTTTCTAGGCACCTGTTTTTCTTTCTACAAGTTCTAACATAAAGAATTTTTATATTTTGATTTTTAATACAATGCAAGCCTGATGCTTTAATAATATTAGTTTAGTAAACCTTTTTTCGTTAATACGTATATTTTATAAAATTTTCTATTAATATAAAATATATTCAATTAAAATGTTGATAATAGTTTTACATATATTTAAAACTATTTACTACTTATAAAATACAATAAGATAAAAGATTAAATAAGACAAAAAATTTTGAAAAAATTGAGAAACTTTATAACAGAAAAGATTGAAGTAATTTGATGCATTTGCTATTGTTTAATGTTTATTTTCACGTATTATAAAATTTTATAAAATATTGTATTATTGTAATATATTATTAGTTATTCATATATATGAGATGTTACATTATATTAACAAAATTTTATTAAATATTATAACTTTATATATGCATGGATGAACTATCCTTACTGAATCATAAAAAAGAAAGAAATTTTTCATGAATTTGAACGAATTGTTTTTTTCATTACACAATCGATACGAAGAGAAATTGAAATACTTTCAAGGTGCAGAGGATTAAAACGATAACCTTCAAGTAACTCATAATTGCACACGTGAAATTTCTCAGCGTGAAAATAGATTTATATAAAAATTATTTATTACCATACATTAGTCTAAAAATAAAAGCAATGAATGTATTAAACAGTACACCTCTCTTAAGCATTCATTTTAAACGATAACACAGTAAAGGTATGATTGATGCATCGTTGTATTGACAGATATAATAGATCGTTAAAGATTAGAATAAACACGATAGGATCCTTGCTCCAAACAAGAAAAACAATGTCACTTGTCATTTCACTTCTTTAGTAAGGTACCACAATAACGAGGCGCCCAATTAATGTAAAAGAACTAATAAAATTGAAAATACATCATACAGTTTGACAGAATTATATAAATTTCAAATTTTACATTTTATAATATAATAATATAGCTCTTTTGCTATAAATTATATGCATGTGTAAATTTTTGTCAACAATATTTGAAAATATAGACATTGAATTTCATCAAGTTTCATGTGAAATGAGAAATTTTAAAGTAGGATGGTAAAATTATGTTTCTCATGAAATCTATATTTAATAGAATAAAATTTTTATATAGACATTGAATTTTATAGTGGAATATTGAAGTTATATATGTCTATTTTATATATGAATTTTTATTTTATTTAAAAATTTCACAGTGATATGTAAAATTTATTAATTTTTTGTTTTACGATAGGATTATATTAGATGTATTACCAAGTTTCTGTGCTTTAAACTTCTGCATCTATATTCAATGGAAAATATAGTAATAATAAATATTGAACCATGATAATAATAATAATTAATAATAATAAATTTAATAATATATTTAATTATAATAGTTAGTAATATTACAAATAAATTATAAATTAATTACATTATAATTCATATATAAAATTATGATAATCAATCATCTATATAATCAATCATCTATATCTATATAATTTGATATTCAATTTTATATAGTATATAATTCTTTCCTATTGAATATAAAAACAAATATAAAAACTCTTTTGCTAATATAATACGATTACTACTAAAGCTAAAAATTAATACATTTCATACTTTACTATAAAATTTCTTGTCCAAACATACATACCTTTATCTATATACTGAATTTCATTAAATTATGATAGTCAATCATATATCTATATAATTTGATATTCAATTTTATATAGTATATAATTCTTTCCTATTGAATACAAATATAAAAACTCTTTTGCTAATATAATACGATTACTACTAAAGCTAAAAATTAATACATTTCATACTTCACTATAAAATTTCTTGTCCAAACATACATACCTTTATCTATATACTGAATTTCATTAAATTCACAGTACATTCTGCGTTAAAATAATAACTGTCATTATCTCTTCATAAAAAAACAATCTTCTCGTTTCATATCCAGACTTATGTGTTTGCACATCAGTCATCACGTCCTTCCTTATCTAAGATATTAACTTTCGAACGGATTTCACGCGAGCCCCAGATGACACGTGAAATTCGACAAATATTAAAATACAGATATATATATATATTTGTTACAGTATAATATATATAATATACTGTATAACATACAGTATATAAATATATATATATATATTGTATTGTAACAAATATAAATATATATATATATTTTATATTCTGTATATTATTACTGTATAATTTATACAGTATATAAATACAGTAATAATATAAATATATATATATATATATATATATTTTATATACTGTATATTATTACTGTATTTATATACTGTATAAATTATACAGTATATAAATACAGTAATAATATATTATATATATATATATATATACTGTAACAGAACGAAAAAAAAAAAACGGCGAAAAGAGAATTTTAAATGGAGAAAAAGAGAATCAAAAGTGAAAGTTGAGTACCTCCGGCAGGATAAACGATCATTGAGCACTATTTGCGGCAAGTGTGTCAAATGTTCGCTCACACATCAAACCAACACAGCCAGTAGTGCATATCTGTTATTTCTCTGTCATAGTTTATAGACGTTCTATATAAAACTATGAGGACGTGTAGCTCGTGCCGCGGGCTCGTACATCTTTCAGTTCATTTCCTGACACGTTCTACACAACGAAGGAAGCCAACGTTTGTCACGTGACACCGCCGCGTTTGCAATCCTTCGCTTTTAATTTCACCGCTATTTTCTGATTGTCGCATCATTTCGATTGTACCGAGGTATCGTAATCGGTTAGTCCGCTCTTCGAACTTTGCCGGCCGCGCGTTGCAATGTAACGAGACGTGCTTACGCGTTTTCGAGGTGTTTCGCTTTGCGCGACTCTTTTTTCCTTTTCGGCGGTTCTTTTAGCCGTGCTTTTTCTAACTTATTCACTATTATCGCGGTTTGAATTGCACGATTGTTTCGTTGAAGATACGCTGCATAGTAAGATGTAACATTCTTATATAAAATATATATATAAATTATCTTATATAGTATATTAAATATTATGTATTTTATATAATATAATTAAATATTATATATATTATATAATATATTAAATATTATGTATTTTATATAATATAATTAAATATTATATATATTATATTATATATTAAATATTATGTATTTTATATAATATAATTAAATATTATATATATTATATAATATATTAAATATTATCTGAAATATACATAAATTATCTTATATGAAATATATGAAAATTATATATTTCTTATATAAAATATAAAATATAAAATTATATAATTCTTACACAAAATATAAGATATAAAGAATAAAGATTAATATTTGGATGAAATTGTAGTATAAAATTTAATAAAATCTGTTCGACAAGCTTAAAGTTTAAAGCTTTAATGAAAAACAAAATTACTTAATAAATTTAATTTTGAATTTACTGCTAGTTATTAATCAAAGTATAGCAGGCAGTAGAAGTTATTAATTTTTTTTAGCTACTGGACAGGATAAAATTGTCTAAAAATTATAGAGTTTGAATAAAATTTATAATACTTTAATACTTATTCATACTATAATTTATAATACTATAATACTTATTCAATATAGCGAAATTTTATGCAGACATTAAATTTTATAAATTTATGCTTGGAGTATGTAATAAACTTTAGTTAAAAGTAAAATCATTAGTAAATTCAATTTTTAACTCGTTAAAATTATTAATTGAATTATGTCAAAGGACAGAATTTATTAATTTCTAGTTTTACAGTAGCATAAAATTATACCTTAAAATTTGGTAAAATCTACTATAAATTTACTACAGCAAAATTTTATCAAGTTTGTATAATAATTAATCTTACTGCAGTAAATAAAATTTATTAATTGTTAACTTTACTTACTATACTTTACTATAAAATTTATTAATTGTTTATTTACTAACAAAATAAAATTACACTACAAAATTTGATAGAATTTCTATTTACTATATTAAATATCATATTGGACAAACTATATTAAACATGTACTGCAAATCCTAAATTTTATAAAGATTGGTTTATATAAAAGAACGTAAGAGAACATAATAAAATATAATAAATACTAAACTAAAAGTTTGGTTTAAACTTGGTTATAACACTTGATTTATTATAAATTTCATAGCTTTATAAAGTAGAATAATAATTTATTAATATTCATAGCTTGCTCCGATTTAAATATTTACTACTTTCTATTGTCACTAACTATTTATAATAAAATACTATTAAAAAATTTTTTAATAATTATAATAAAATATTATTTATAATAAAGTACTATTAAAAAAATTTTTAACAATTATAATAAAATATTATTTATAATAAATAAATTTTATTTACAACAAAATACTGTTAAAGAAATTTTCAACAATTATAACGAATAAATAGCATTATTTCATTTCGTAATGTAAATGAGTTAATTCTACGATTCAAACGACTTTTCTGTTTATGCTCATTTTATTATTTCCGATACGTGAAAAATATGTTTCGCGCTAATGAAGTGTTTAAAATGATATTTATCGTTCGTTAACTATCGTACACGTGGATATTTTTGTTTATCGTGGATCGGTGATATATGTTGCGTGAAATGTACGTTCGTTGACGAAATGATGTGAATAAAATGGCGACTAACGATAGTACAGGGAAGAAATTTAACAGGATGCGGCCGCTGAACTTGGCAACTATAAAATATCCGAACGCATTGCTGGTCAATGTTAGGTACGTATAGAAAAAAGTCTCGTATTTCAATAGAAACTAATGTGATTTTATTCTATGTTATGTGTTTGTCAATTACTTATTATTATTTATTTATTCACTTAAAATCGCATCAACTTGCAAGAATTATTAGCGACTACTGTTGCTCAATAATTTGTTTGACAATGTTTTCATACATTATAATTGTATCATTAATATGTAATTGAAATATTGCAAATTACTACATTACGTGTCACGTAGTTTGCTAATGTACTAAACTGATCAGTACACATTATAATTTGTAATTTTATTTTAGTTCGAAAAAACTCTTGAAAATTATATTTTTATATATTTATACAAAAATTATAATATTTGTGCAGAAACTTATACAAAAATTATTTTATATTTTAATTATTTTAATTATTATATGTTCTTTTTACTATTTTTTAGTTTTTTTAATTATTACATATTTTAATTATTTTTAATTATTATATATTTTAATTATTTTTAATTGTTACATATTTTAATTATTTTTAATTATTATATATTTATATTTTAGCAAGTTTTCTATCATCTAAAATATTTTTAACTGTTGAGGGGAGTTTTTTTCTTTCTCCTATATTGCATTCTTTTTTTCCTCTTCTTTCTTTTAGCTCGATATCGCATCGACTACTAGGTCATTAGTGACATGAATTACTTAGTTATGTTTTGTTGCTGTCAAATTTTGTAGTAGTTTTTTTTTTTTAAACAACATTCTTGGAACCTGTGTCATCAAAGTAACAATATAAAATACAATGTAATATCAAAATATAAAGTACAATATAAGTATAAAAAATGCAGAAATGTATTTAGATGGAGTTTGTATTTATGTCTGTTCAACAACAGACATAATAAACAACATTCTTGGAACTTGTGTCATCAAAGTAACAATATAAAATACAATATAATATCAAAATATAAAGTACAATATAAGTATAAAAAATGCAAAAATGTATTTAGATGGAGTTTGTATTTATGTCTGCTCGTCTCGAAAACTTCTGCACTCAGAATTCACTCAGAAATTAAAAAGTTGTGTAGACAAAGTTTCTTCAAGTTTAGATCACGTAGAATTATTAACATTGTCACGCAGTTTTCCACTCACAGTTTTTATCAAACTTTTTCATCTTTTCCAGCGTGGGAAAGGAAATGCTTCAGAACCATTATACAGTGTTTCTGTGGAACTATTTAATCTATTATTTACAGGAAATGCACATCATTTTCAGAGAAACTTCACTGTCAGTTAATTCTTTTTCCTATATCTAGCACAACACACCCTCTCTTATGAAATTGTTTTTCCTCTGTTTAGAGATGTTAATGTTGCGAAACTGAAGAAATAAGTTGTTACCAAATTTTGTACAAATAAAATATAGAAAGTTATTAAAAGATTCATTTGTGTGAAATATCGTACAAAAAAGAAGCATATTTGCGTTATCAATTGCGTATATACGATTAATTATTGTTAATTAACTGTAATAAGAATAAATACGCGTGGGAAGCTGGGAAATTTTGCCTTCTACATATTATTTATTATATTATTCAATTACATGTTATTAAACATATTTAATCACATATTAAATCACATACATGTATAATTACATATCATTAAACATGTTACTATATCATACAACCTTATTTGTATTTAATAAAACAGTCAAAACAGATTGACTATTAAATTTCAGAGGTTCTTCAAATTCATATTTCACAGCTGATTCAGTCATTAGAAAAATTTTTCAACGCTGTTGTTTTTTGTTTTTTACACGCTGTGAGAATTTGAATTCTATAATATTAGATACGATATCTAGCAAAATGTTTAATGATGATAAAACGTTTAAATTTCAAGCAACGTCCCTCTTGAACGTTGTTGATTAATCGGTGGATCTGGCAACAACAATAGCAATCGATAATTTTTAAAGTCAAGCGTTCCTAATCTTATATCTCTCTCTCTATCATCTTTATATCAACCACTTGCGCTGGCAACTGATTGCGGACCATAACGAGTGACCAAACAACAGTTTGTCGCTCTCCGTTTCTTTTGTATATTCGTTGGATAGAAATTATTGAGAAGTAATAAATTTATTATTTGCTTTTCCGGAGTTACGCTTAAATATACTTAACAGGGCGGGCCTAAAAATTGCGAATACTTTGAAGGGTTAGTAAAGAAAAAGTACACATTTGATTGACATGAGCTTTTGTGGTTTATTTTAACACATTATGAATTATAAAAGGGCAACATTAAAAAAGGAAAAAAAAGAGTTATTTAATTTTTTAACTTTGATCCTATTACATAATTTTCTTTTTTACATTGCCTATCGATGTGCGTGAAATTCAACTAGTCTGTATCCGCGGATTTATTATCATACCTTATTTATATTAAAATAATTAATTATACTTATTTATATTAAAATAAGTCGTTCGAAGGGTTAGGACCTTTTGTATCTTATTTCTGAGACTTCAAATTACTATTTAAAACAAAAGCAAAAAAAAAAAAAACAGTAAATTTAAAATACTTTAAAACAGTAAATCAACGTTGTATTTGTTTTACTCAGTTGCAGCATATGGTATTTATTCCGGCATAAAATGAACGAAGAGAATTTCAACTGATTTTTCTATACCGGCACCAAAGAACTATCGTTCCTCTGTCTGGAATTTTTACAGTTGCCAGTGCTTAACCCCGTCGAGGCGAGACACAGTCTTTCCAACGATTGTTCAAGCAAACATTTATTGAGTTCCCAAGAGCTGTCTATAAAACGCCCTCCACCCTGTTCCTTGCACGCATGATAGAACTCTGTGAAGTAACGTGTCTATCTTCTGTTCGCCATGCGATCCTGTGGCGTGTACACCGTCGATCGCGACGCATCACGAAGAAGGTTCATAGATCAGACATTTCACGTGAATCAATCATGCTTCGTTTCAATTTTTTAACATCACTCGTTCATGTCCCCTGCTTGTGTTAAGTGATGCTCCGATCGCTCTGAGCAAACGTGCAGTAAATTTGCAATTTAATATGGTTAAACTTGTACAATATTAATTTTTGTTTATACAATGTTAATACAATATTAATTTTTGTTTATACAATATTAATACAATATTAATTTTTGTTTATACAATGTTAATACAATATTAATTTTTGTTTATACAATATTAATACAATATTAATTTTTGTTTATACAATGTTAATACAATATTAATTTTTGTTTATACAATATTAATACAATATTAATTTTTGTTTATACAAGGTTAATACAATATTAATTTAAAATTATACGATATTAATACAATATTAATTTTTGTTTATACAATATTAATACAATGTTGATTTTTGTTTATACAATGTTAATACAATATTAATTTTTGTTTATACAATGTTGATACAATATTAATTTTTGTTTATACAATATTAATACTAATACTAATTTTTGTTTATACAAAATTAATACAATATTAATACTAATTTTTGTTTATACAAAATTAACACAATATTAATTCTTGTTTATACAATATTAATATTAATTTAATATTTACACGATATTAATACAATATTAATTTAAATTCATGCAATATTAATTTAATAATAATACTTGATATCGTTAAATTTATTGTGCGATGGTTCTAAATTGTTGCAAATGTGTAAAATAAAATTCAAATGAACCTTTCTAATTTAATCGTGATGGAGTAGCTAATATTGAATTAGCACGAATAAGATATAAATTAATATAAATCAAGAAAGTGGTTGAAGAGTAATTTTGCAGAGACATAGTTAGTTAAGTGACTTTAAGTATGTCGAAATGTCAGAAGAATTGAAATATGTATGTGTTTTCATTCAAACAGTTCAAAAAAGTTTGTACAAACGATTTGCCAACTATTTAGATTTTAGCAGAACGTTTCACCTTTTATATTTATGGTAAAATGTAAGAAATTAACAATAGAGAAATGTTACTGTGAAAACGAGAAGGATTCTTCTGAGAATCGAATGCAATTGATATCAATTCTGGCATTATAATTTAAAACGTGGATAATAATGAAAATAAAATAGATTCGTCATGTATCAGAATATTAATTTCACTAAGCAGAAATCGATGTTAATTTCGACAAAAAAAAAAAAAAAAAAGTATACTCGTGCCTTTCAAATTAAATTTCCTGTGAAAAGGGAAAGATTTAATTTCGTTGTTGGCCTGCGTTAATTGTCGAAATTTCCAGGTCACCGAAGAGCAGCTCGCAGTTCGGCAAGCTCGACAACCTGAAGACGGAAATGGATACTATCGGAAGTAATAAGAAGAATCGATCGAGAAACGTACGACAGCAAATTGACACGTTCGAAATTCGAATTAATTTCAGTGTCGGAGCCAGTAACGTCCTCCGTCAGTGCGTTCGATCCAAACGCTGACAGCTTGCACGCGTCGATGAGGCCGATCATTATGCTGGCGCAATGTTTCTCCCTGTTTCCGGTTTCTGGCGTTAATTCTCCCGACGCGTCGTATCTCAGGTGATTTGTTCCCTCTTCTTTCGATTAATTCGTTCGACCAAGTCGAATCGCGTCGATGATTCATCGGCGATGTCAAAGAAAAAAAAAAGAACGAAAGCATTTTTACACGAGCGAGCGAGGGGCGAAAGAAGGTTTGGTTCGCGGACCATAACGAGTGACCGGGGCCGTAACAATTCGTCGCTTTCTTCTCCTTTCGAGCTCGCCGGCACGATATCACTGGATAGAAATTATTAAATTATTAAGAAGTAATAAACTTACTGTTTTTGTTTTGGGTTACAAACTTAATACACTTAAAAACTGAGAAACTGTTGATTAAATTAGTAAATAAGTAAATTAAATATACTTGGAACTGAGAAACTGTTGCAATTTCTGAGACAAAAATTTCTCGGCGTGCGTCATTTCAGCGCAAGAAGTTAATATAATATTATATTAATTAATATTAATTAATATAATTAATATTATTAACATTATAATTAATAAATTTAATATTAATATAATTAATATTAATATTATTATAATTAATAAATTTAATATTAATATTATTATAATTAATAAACTTAATATTAATAATATTAATTAATAAATTAATAATATTAATTAATAAATTTAATATTAATATGATTAATATCAATAAATTTAATATTAATATTATTATAATTAATAAATTTAATATTAATATAATTAATATTAATATTATATTAATATCTATAATAATAATTAATATAATATAATATAGATTTAATAATATTCATCTAAATTTAAATTAATATAAATAGTATATCGCTCGATCACGCGTAGTACTTCCCGCTTACTTGTTGTGATTCCCAATATTCGACTCGTGGGCCTCATGTTCAACACTCTCGAAGGAGATATCGTTTCTAGGGAGATTTAAATATCAGTACTTCAGTTTTTAGATCGATCGAACTTTAAATTCCTACTTTTAAATGCGCAACACGTGCGTGGCACGTTAATTCCAGCGCAAAAAGTTAATCGCTTGTCACTGGCAACTGATTGCGGACCATAACGAGTGACCGAGCCGTATACAACAATTCGTCGCTTTCTCTTTCTTTTGAACTCGCCGGTATGACACGTCACTGAATAAAAATGATTAAGAAGTAACAGACTTATCGTTTGTTCTGCCTGTTATCGTTTGTTACGTTTAAATATACCTAAAACTGAGAAAATGTTGCGATTTTGGGACAAAAAATTGTCGACGTGCGTGGCAAGAACATGAGAAAATTTACCAAACATCTGCAGAAAATAAAATTACTGTCACTAAAATAATAATAAATTATAAGTATAATTGTTCGAGCTCTGATTTATGGATTCACGCTATTTTTGAAGAGAAAATTAAAAGTTAAAAGACACTTGTGACGACAGTATTAAAAATATCAATTTTTCTTTTATCTCGAATAAACGAATTTTTTTTTAAATTATCTTCAAATTCTAACACGTTGCTCGTTATAAAATTATCTAAATTGTGGATAATTGGCAATTTGTTTTGTTAAATTTTTATAAACATTTCAAGTCAATCATTCTCAGCGAAGGACAATCGTCGTCGGCACTTCTGTTAAATTGTAGATAATTTTACGTGTTAAAAAAAAATTTGAATTTATAAACGAATAGCTTTGGGGAATTTATTATTAAATGTAAGTGTAGGCGTATAATTATTCATGATTTACTTAGTATCGTTTGTCGATCAAATGTTAGAATAATTTGAATGTAATTGAATATGAATCGAATTATGCTATATTAGATGTTATTATATTATTTTTTATTATATTCTTATTATACTATAAATATAAATATTCTTTAATCATACTTTTTCCACATTTAGGTTCACTTGGCGCAGCCCAAAATTTATATACTGCGTAATTTCGATCGTTGGTTCGTCGATGATGACCGTATTTAACATTTTGAGGATAGTTACAAACGAAATAAATTCCACGAAAATGAGTAAGACATTTCGAAAACATTTTATATGTCTGTATTTCCATAAAAACAACTCTTTAGCAATTAGATGTTATGCATATTGTGTTTCACAGGTAAAATAAACAGCAAAATCAAATTTTGTAACAAAAAACCAAGAATAACACATTGCGTTTACATGTTTATTTTTTTTATGATGATTAAATTTAAGTTAATACTATGACATTGAAATATTTCCAAGTTCTCTCAAGTCATATTAATTTTAATGTTCAATAATTTTAAATTTTAAATTGCTATTGTATTATATAATAACTTAACGATTAGTAATATTAATAATAATAATTTATATTGACTGGAGACATCAGTTTTGTTGTTGTTTAGTAAATTGATCAACTGCAAGAAATAGCTTTATGAAATATTCAGATTAATATAATGATTTTATTAATTTCACTCGTGATAATTTATAATAGTTTTATCAATCAAAATTGCAATTTGCCATGTATATTACATCAGAAGTTAAGGCATAGTAATTAGACTGCCAGAAAAGATGCCAGAATTAATAAAAATTTGATTTTCTTCTCTTTAACACTAGATCCTACATCATATTTTCATAATCTTTTCATAATGAAGCTTAACTTAGAAAGCTTAACTTTAAAAGAACTCAAGCTCAACTTTGAAAAAAGAATAGCTCGTATGGAACAGTGAAAGAACTAATGAGAAGTGTTTGTTCAAAAATGTTATGTGACGTCAACAAATTATGGTTAACGTGTCCGTCTTTTTTCTCTTAGGAAATTAAAGACGATAGAAAAAGGTCACATGTAAAATAAAAAAGGAAAAATAATATAAATAGCAATACTAAAGATACTAAAAATAATCTAGTAATGTTATTAAGTAAATTAATAGTACTAATTTAGTACTATTAATTAATTAATTTATTTATTTACTTATTTATGTATTTATTTATTTACTTATTTATGTATTTATTTATTTATTTATTATTTAATTTAGTACTAGTAAATTTACTACTAAATAATACAAAAAATACTAAAAATAATACAACAATTATCTCACTTTAAGCAACTGTTTCAAATAAATTATTGCTAAAGTGTTGATTTATCTTATTAATAGTACTCTCCTATTGTGCTCGTAAAATTTCAATTTAATTTTCGTGAAAAAGGTGACCGTGTCTCTTTGACTCTTCCACGTTGGAACTTCATCCAAACATTCCAAAAGATTATAAAATTCAAATAAGAATTTAGAGAATCGAAAGACCTGATTTCAGTAAAAAATGTAAAATAAAAATTTAAAGATTTAAAGTTACAAATTCGAACGTAATGGATGATAGATTTTAACATTTCCACGCAATTATCTCCCAAAAAAAAAGAGAAAAGATATTCTTCATTATTGTCCTCATTTTTCGTGCAATAGATTTTATAAAATTAAAACTAAAATATCTACACTGAACTAATAATTCTTCCACGTGTAATCTCTTTTTTATAAATAACGTTGAGCTGCATTGATACATAAAAAAAAATATATATATATATATAAAATTTATAAAAAAAAATATATATATATGAAATTATATATATATAAAATTCTGTTTAAAAAAATAGAGATGACCTTGAAATCCGATGACAAATCACACAAGACGTCGTCCTCTTTGAAACGGAACAAGTTTTATTTGAAACATTTTTAAAAATAATTAACAGTTTAGGAGATGACTGCGTAGAAAGATTGAAAACGAGACACCCTGTATAAACGCACATAAACAATATATTTTGTCCTTTATTTCTGCGTAAGCCACGCTTGTATTCAATGGAACGAACTTGATTGCAACCTTCCTGTTCCTGAGATTGGCCGTACAATGGCCGTGCTTGATGGTAACTTGGGAGAAGCTCGAGAAAGAGCTTTCGTACAGGCATAGGAAAATTTCGAAGACCAGCCTGGCCGCGAAATTCAAGATTGTAACGACAGTAGTAATGATGTTTGCATTGGGTAAGCGATGTCTTTCATTTATTGTTGTATATTATATTCATTATTAATAATATATATTAATTTATTGTTTGTAATACATATTCTTATTATTGTATACTGATATTTATATTTTATTATTTATTATTATATCTATTAAATAACAATATATTAAATAAATTAATTATTTAATATATTATTAATAATATATAATATGTTAAAGTTATAATAGTATTTAATAATATATCAAATAATAATTTATTATTTATTATTATATGTATATACATACATTATTATTATATGTATTAAATAATAATATATTAAATAATTAATTTAATATATTATTAATAATATATAATATGTTAAAGTTATAATAGTATTTAATAACATATTAAATAATAATTTATTATTTATTATTATATGTATATATATATATACATTATAATATTATTATAATATTATTATTATATGTATTAAATAATTAATTTAATATATTATTAATAATGTATAATATGTTAAAGTTATAATAGTATTTAATAATATATTAAATAATAGTTTATTATTTATTATTATATGTATTAAATTTATTATTTATTATTTTATGTATAAACAGCATTTTATATATTATTAACGTATTAATATATTATTGTTAATATAGTAATAATATTATTACTATTTATTCTTTATAGTATCGTCTATTTAAATTCGATCTTAGATCATGCCAAATCAACAGACAACTAGACATACACTATTAAACTGGTAAAATTCGTATGTACTTTATAATTTCATGCAATTTCAAGAACTCGAAGCAAATTATCGCTTGACCTTCAGTGGGTAAATTTGAACGTTTGAAACTTCAGTCCACTGTTTTTTCCATTATTCGTTTCACTTCCTTTCAACATACTAATGAATTGCAATGAATCGTTGCAGTCGAACATAGTTTGTCGATAGCCCAGGGCTACATCAAGGCTAAAGAATGCGCTACGTTTCAAGAAGATCCGAACATCTTTGGTGTGTATTTCCAGATGCAATTTCCACAGGTAACAACGACTTTCCATTATCAGTTTCTTCTTCGACAGATGAATTTTTTTTATTTTTCTTTGTGAAAGAAAATATTAATTACCTCAATATATATAATATGCAGCTTTATGTACACAAATTATTTTATTCTGTTTTCTAATTATTTCGTTGCATCATATATAAACGAAATATTTAATATTACATTAATATTTAAATATTATATTTAATTTAATTATTAAATTTAATATTTAATTAAATATTTAAATATTATAAACTTATAATGTTATATTATAACTTATATTATAATATTTAAATGTTATAAAAGATATTATACTAATATTTGTAATTTGTATTACTAGTTAGTGAGTCTGAAAGTTAATTCGTACAAAATAAATATACTTGCAGTTGTTTTATTATTTTTTATTCTGCTTTATATACATAAATTATTTTATTTTGTTTTTTATTATTTCGTTACATCATATATTAACGAAATATTTAAATTAATATTGCATTAACATTTAAATATTATATTTAATTTAATTATTAAATTCAATATTTAATTAAATATTTAAATATTATAAACTTATAATGTTATAACTTATATTATAATATTTAAATGTTATAAAAGATATTATACTAATATTTATAATTTATATTACTAGTTAGTGAGTCTGAAAGTTAATTGGTACAAAATAAATATACTTGCAGTTGTTTTATTATTTTTTATTCTGTTTTATGTACATAAATTATTTTATTTTGTTTTTTATTATTTCGTTACATCATATATTAACGAAATATTTAAATTAATATTGCATTAACATTTAAATATTATATTTAATTTAATTATTAAATTCAATATTTAATTAAATATTTAAATATTATAAACTTATAATGTTATATTATAACTTATATTATAATATTTAAATGTTATAAAAGATATTATATTAATATTTGTAATTTGTATTACTAGTTAGTGAGTCTGAAAGTTAATTGGTACAAAATAAATGTACTTGCAGTTGTTTTATTATTTTTTATTCTATTACATTTAAATAAATATTGTTTGATGTTACATTAATACGTAATAATTTCCATTATTAATGTTCACACTATTATCGGTATTCACACATATTATGTACTATTTTATTCATATAAGTAAATATTATTTTATGTATTTATTACTTTATTATTTATTTATATTATTTATTATTTTATGTATTATTAATGGTATATTAATATTTATCATTTCTGTTATTAATATAAAACACATTACATGATATCAATATAAAAACATATAAAACGATATTTACTTACATATAAGAATAATACACAATATGCATGGATACCTAAGAATATATAAAATTAATGAAACTGATGAGAAATAATTAGCATCGAACAGAAAGAATTTTAAACGTCAAATGTGTTTGGATAGATATTCTCTAGAATATCGTATAGTTTATGGAAAGGAATATTGGTGGACCTCATTAACATTCTCAGTACCTTCTCGTGGAATTTCGTCGACTTGTTCCTTATTCTTATCAGCATCGCTTTGACAGCTCAATTTCGGCAATTAAATAGCCGCTTGAATTCCATAAGAGGCAAGGTGAGTGTCTAGAAATATTCTTTAACACATTTCCTATGCTCTGTATGTTGCACATAACATATTTATAAAATTATTCCACATTTATTTAAAAGAGATTGCATTATTAAAAACAGCAAATTAAATACGTATGTCGCATAATTAATTGTTGTTACTTTATGAAAAATCACGTGAAATTGTGGCACGTAAAGTGGCACGAGTTTAAAAATAAGATAGAGGATTAAAGTGAAACAAGTGGGTAATGGAAGAAGTTATATTTTGATGTTGTTTATCTACAATTAAGGTGCACGAAATATAGGGTGTCCGTAAAGTCTCTTTACAATTTCGAAAATTTATTACAAAGGCAAGTGAAAAGACAAATAAGTGGAAATTATTACAAAATGAGACGTATATATTTAAGTTTCTTTTTTCTTATTTAATACACCTCTATATTAGGGCATTAGTTGCACAACGGTACTCGATTTCTTACACGATCGATGTTTACCTCAGATGTTCTTGATCGTCCCTTCCTTTATCGAACACTGTCTTTATTTCCATAAATTTCTTGTGCCATGCACGAATTGATGGACGTGACGGTGGATCTCTTTTACTTACAATTAGTTCTGAGTCTGCAGATCCGATTTGGTCTCACTAGACCATGATACACACTGTACCTTCTCTTGAAAAGTAGCCATTTTGTAAGTTCATTTAACAGTATCTTAGTTATCAACAGGGTGTCTAAAATGCAATGTGATAAAAACCTTAATAACCACTGAGTATATAGAACAAATCTGACGAAGATATCTCATCAGTTGCCTTTGTAATAAATTTTTGAAATTGTAAAGAGACTTTATGGACACTCGGTATTGTAGTTTCTAATGAGGTATACTTGGTCTTTACTATGATTTCGTTGTTAAGGCAATGCCGGAATGGTGGTGGGCCGAGGCGAGGAGCGACTACAATCACTTGGCAACATTGACGAGGCAACTAGACTCCCGTATCTCCATTATGGTTCTTCTATCTTTCGCCACCGATCTGTATTTCATCTGCATACAGCTACTTTTCTCCTTCAAGTATACACGACAGAATTTTATTTTATTTGTGCATGTTGTCCCCACGTCGACTCTCTCATGCCATCCTCGACATTATGGTTTCTCACTTGAATTCACTCTGATTAAATGACTCGCAACAGACAGTCTTGAAAACAATTAATATTACACTGTATTGTTACTGTTAGATTACCAGGGTAAGACAGTCAATGTTATATTTTTTTTTTTTTTTGTGTGTGTGTTGGTACACCATTTTTGCATGTGTGAGTCAGATAAAATAAATAAAAGACGAAATAACAATTTGACATGACTAATAATCAAAGATAATAATAGATTATCTTTTTTAGTTTCTAAAACATAGTTACATTTAATTTTGCTGAACATGGCCACCTTACCCTGATCTCTCCTAATTAATTCGTTCATTCGTTATTTATTTATTGAAAAATTTAACTAATCAACGTTATGTTATAATGCTTCAGTTATAATACAAACATGCACCAGCATGTTTAGAAAGTCATTTTTATATTTACAGTTATTTACTATAATTACTCTTTTATCTTTATGATTATTTACTAAATCTTTTTAACTTTTAAAATTAAATATAATTATATTTAATTACTTTTATATTATATTTATAATTATTTACTAAATCTCTTTAATTTTTTAAATAAATAATTTATACATCTGTTTATGTTTATAAATTAAGAATTGATTATGATGATCACTTTGATAGTCTTACAATCAAAAATCATGATATCCGCTCAGTTACCTTTCTGACCTTTTATTTCTACACACTGGTTTCAAACATTTCAAACAACATAACTTATAACAATTTAATCTTCTAGTTCCAACCCTTCTGTGCTCTCGTTCCATAAAATGTAATTAATATTTTTAACTGTCACCTGTTGCAACAGCACGCATAAATTAAATATATTGAACGTTTGAAAAAAAAAAAAAAAACAGCCCCATGCGGAACGCTATCGAGAAAATCTACTTCTGCTTCTCCTTTGGATTCCTGCTGGCGAGAACGACGATGGTCTCTCTGTTTGCTGCGACGATTCACGACGAGTCGTTGCTTCCGGCTCCGATTTTGTACAGCGTTTCCGCAAACAGTTTCTGCACAGAAGTAAGATTTCAATTGTATCTCTTTGAAAAGGGAGAAAACAAATTGAAGAAAGTTTGTAGAAGATATTGCAAAGTGCCAGAATTGAAAAGAATTTTGTATTTTTCCCTTTTTTTATCTGAAAATGTTTCATCTGAAAATGTACATGATGTACTGTGGCATGCAATTCAAGTGGAATTTTCCTTTTGTGAGTAGTTTTTTTCTTCCTGAAGAAACTTTGTGTTTTTACAAATAGAAAACATTGTCGTTGAAATAGGTTTTCATTAAAATGAAAGTACCTGGAAAAATGAGACTTTCTTAAAATTATTTAATAATTATTTATATCTACAGAGAGTCTATTCATTTGAGTCAAATTTTAGTAAATACGTGTGACTAAATGAATTCATTTATTTGAATTTGATCCTCTTATTACATAAACAGTAGCATTGTAGGTATAAGCTTTAATTATATAAACTGTTTGTCACTTACTTGTCACAAATTTATATAAAAGAAATTCTACTGTAACGTTATAATAATATAGTTCATGATATAAATATAAAATTATCGGTATTAAGTCTAGAAAAATGTTTAGAAAAGAGAATTTTATATTTAATTGTCTCTCAATTTTCACATATAAAAAAACATTTGCACATGTTCTTACTTTTCAATGAAGCTTATTACAGGGTCAAATTTTTAAAATTTGATCATTATGCTTATTTATATTCTTTATGCTAATAATATGTATCGTTATTAATTATAATTAATTAATTGTAGATTAATTAGATCTAATTATATATAGTATGCAAATTTTACAATAAATAAAGTAGTGTGTCCATATTCTTTTTAGCTACTGTATATATGTATCTATACATATTACATATACATATATTATAATACATAACATCTATTTTATATATATATATATATATAACAATTCATATAATTAACTATTTTAAATAAAAATCCCAGCAATTAATATTTTTCTTCACAACAGTCGGGTAATAAATGTGCTATAATAATTCTGGTATCGATTTGTCATTAATTTTAATTAAACTTGCAGTTTGAAATACTCGATACAATTAACTTTTTATACTATATGTAAAATAATTTTATTGTTTTCGCAGGTAATGAGGTTCCTGGCGCAAGTAACAACGGACAACATTTGCTTGACGGGCATGAAATTCTTTTCAGTGACTAGAAGCCTTGTATTAACCGTACGTATAGAACGTGTAAATGTAAAATAATAAATTTAGAGAAATATAACATATATATATATATATATATATATATATATATATATATATATATATGTTATAATATTTTAATCATTAAAATATTAAATGAAATTTCTGATTTCTGATTATTATTATTAAATTATTACATTAATTAAATCTTCTAATTATTAATCATTAAGATATGAAATTATAATTATTAAATATAAATTACACTTATATGTACTAATGCAATGTATACACATATATAACATTAGTACATGTAAGTTTTGTAATTTATATTTGACAATTATCATTTAATATCTTAATGATTAATAATTAGAAGATTTAATTAATGTAATAATTTAATAATAATAATCAGAAATCAGAAATTTCATTTAATACTTTAATAATTGAAATATTATAATTTATTATTATACTACAACTTATTATAAAATTTTATTATAAAATAAATTTTTATTTCATTACAAATACAAACGTAAATGATGCACACGTAAAAAAGAAAAACTGATGATATTGGGCAAAGTGAAGAAAAAATGTAAATTTATATCGTAGAGAAGAGAACAGTGAAACCTCGTTTAATGAAGAATTGGAATTCTGATTTTTAAACAACAATGTTTTCAAAGTGAACGTTATTAACATAGTAATAATGTTACTTTATAACTGTCTCTAGATCTAGCTTCATCTAGAAACTATAAAATTCACTTTGACATACTTTTTTCATAGAAAAAAGCTGACACATTGTCAAACGTATGTGGCATGTAAAAAAAAAAGAAGAAGCACGACAAATCTGATTTTGACACTGGAACAATCGAAGTATATTGTCAAAATGGCAATATATAATTTTATAATTTGTAATTTATAATTTTTGTTAAACATTTCAGAGGCATAAAACAGTATATTTTTACATTTTTACGTTTAACAATGTATTTAAATAACTTAAAATATGTGGAAGCTTGTATACTCTATTGTATTGTAAAGTTTCTCTATTCTTTTTTTTTTTGTCTTCAACATCTCTGACGAAAATTTTATGCTTCAATCGTCGATAGTTCCAGTATTAACATTGACAGTTTATGTTAATAAGTCGCAGAATATGTTTAATATTCATAATAATGTTCAATATTATATTCAAAAAAATATAATAATAATTATATAAAAATATAATAGTTATTAATATTCTTAATAATTTATAATATTCAAAAAAAAAAAAGAAAGGAATATCGAAAATTGCTCGATAAAATTCGCGAAATGATTGAAAAATGTTTCAGGTAGCAGGGACCATAGTCACGTACGAATTGGTCCTGGTCCAGTTCAACGCAACCCAGCAAAATAATTCGAGCAACAGCACAATCTTTTGCGAGGTGAAGTAATAACGCTTTCAAACGTCTTTCAAGGGGACTTCATCTGAATTCATCGCCTTCCCACATTGAACGTCCCGTACGCTTTAAAATATATCTGCATTACAAATATTTCCACACTCTGAACAGAAACGTTGCTCATCGTTTCAAACTGCTGCACGCATGAGTAGGCGCACAGTTAGTGACTTACTTAGAATAAATAAATTGAAAGAAGATAAATCTTGACTTACAGAAATAAATTGTCCCTTGGAAACGAGACTTTTTCTTCTGTAAAAGTAGTGAAAAAATGATGATAAACATTGCTTTTAATTTGAGCAAAAACGCCAAGTGATTAGAAATACAAAATAGTGTCTAGAGAAACTTAAACGAAAGTGTTACATGAAATTCGACAGCACAACTATTCCAATGCATAATATAAAATTTGTAAATTGATGATATGGCTTCTATTTCATACTTCTCGATACTGTAATTAATTGATAGATATCATGCAATAAACGTACAATGAATTCAGTTTGCAATCAACGTTTGTTTTTATATATATGTGTTAATTTGTTAATTCGTTAACTTTCAATTCTCTTTCTGTTGCGTGTATTTACTTATTACTTGTATTTTTACTTATTGTAAAAGAAGCTTATCTAAAAATTTTACTTATTACTTGTATTTTTACTTATTGTAAAAACTGTGTAATATCGTTTTCTTTTCTTAAGGAGATGTATACATAAGTGAATACGTTTATGTGCATATGTGTAAATTATGCAGAAACTTATTAACCCTTAAATAAATGACAGAAGAATAATTAGACATAGTACAGATCCCACAATTTCATATTCACAATCTTTATCGTGCAAAAGTTTACTGTTCATTTCTGTTTCAATCAGTTTGTCTCAGAACACGAAAACGCTGTCATTTAATAATGATTAACAATATCAACACTGTCTGGTATCAGCAGCACTAATAGATGCAACCTTAAAAAATAAAAAAAAAAAAAAAATGAAAAAAAGGAGCGTAACGTTCATTTTACTTATTGTTAGATAATAGTGAAATAATACAGATGCAAATGTACACAGCTAATAACATAGAGATAAATGAATAATAATTTAATAATATAGGATTATCATATTGCAATAATAATAATTTAATAATATAGGATAATCAACATTAAGAAATTTATTTTGCACAGTAATATTTATAAAAAAAACCATCATAAACAAAATTTTACACAGAATATATACAACACTAAAAGTAATGTATCATGTAGATTAAAAGTCAGTTGTGTTGCTTCAAAATTCAAACATTATTGAAAACAACATTGGAACGAGTAAATTAACTTTTAAATACGCAAAATACCGAATGATCATTTAAATAATCATGTTACTTTGTTGCTCTATACTTAATAAACATATTTACTGAAGTACGTTTTTTCAGGGATTTTCTTCTCTGTTGTAGATCGACGGATAGCGATCTTTCTTATGTCAGAAGAGAAGCTACGCCAGATATTTTCTGTGGCCAGTGCCGATGGAAATGCCTGGACAGATTTTGTGTCATTGCATAGTAGTTATTTATGCGGAATTTTATGCGCTCGTAGGAAATTTCAAGACGCACAAAGAACGTACACAGCATGGAAAAATATTATACAAAGTATCGAAAATAGAGTATACTTGTCACAATATCTAGTAGTAGTGGAGTAAAATTTTTGCTTAGACCACGTTTCTTTATCTGCGCTCATGGATCTTTATGAATTTTTTAAAAAATTTGGAGAGTTTAAAAATATATGTATTATGCAAAAATATATATATAATATATATTTATTATATAATTAATATTATATATATAATATAATTTATTATAATATTTTATATATATATATATATATATATATATAGAGAGAGAGAGAGAGAATACATATTATATGTATAAAGTTTGAAAATATATTTTATGCAAAAATATATATAATATATATATATTTATTATATAATGTTATTATATATATTATATATTTTTGCATATATATAATACATATAATATGAATAGAGTTTAAAAATATGTATATTATGCAAATATATATATATATATATAATATATAATTAATATTATATATATTATATTATTATATTATATATTATATATATATATATAGAATACAAAATATGCAAAATAGATAAAACATGCAAAAACGTATTCATTAAAATATTTAATAGATGGAACAAATTTCTACTTAAATTTCATTTCTCTGGTTCACCTCGTAGAGATGTAAAATTGCTAATTGCAATCCGTATTTCACTATTTGAGAATATGATATAGAGTAGAATAGAGAATAGCTGCAATAATATTTCATGTTTCATTGGTTTTGTATTTTTCCATTAAAATGTGAAAGCAAACAGTAAGAAAAATAATGCCGCTTAACGTTTCTGAAAATTGTCATCTTGAAATGTGTGATGTGTGTAATAAATTTTGTAACGCACGCATTATCGTTACCGAACAAAGAAATAAAGAGAATGATGAATAATTTAATAAGTTTAATATTAGAATTTGTTCTAATTCTAGGCTATGGATTTTTATACGTGCATGGAAAATTTAAAGATTACATATACGTTAATACGAGGAAATGTATGTAGTATTCGTACCATGTACATATTGTGCTTTCTATAATGCATGTGTCGTTTACTGTTCTGAGTTCATTCTGAGTTTCAATAATACAATTAAATCAAAACAATGTTCTATCTTTTTAGTCGTACCCTCGAAAATATCTAAATCTGAAATTTTCATAAGTGAAAACTCATGTGAACACAATACACAGATAAATACTTACTCCCACGTTGTTTAAAGAAAGGAATTATATATTTTTCTATATACAAATAACAAGAGAATTATCGGGAATAGACTAGAGCATTGATTGCATTCACAATAACAATATTATCAAAAGTACAATTATGAATAGATCGACTGTAATGTGAAGTAGATGTTATTTGTTATTATTCGCTTCATTTAACACCATTGAATTGCAAAAGTACAACTTCATACGTTATGATCGCTCCAGCCACCTGTAAATTATAAATTTTTTTTCAATAAATTATGAATTATTGAATTAACTGTAGACTAGATCTCGATGTAAATATTATCGTAATTTACCGCAAGCATGAAGTTCCTCGTGATCGAGAAGAAACGTAATCCAGTTAAAGCTACGTCGTCTGTTGCGAGCTGATACTGCAGCCTTTGAGCCTGTAAACAGATAGTTCACTATGGATCTTTAAAATAAGAAAAATGATATTACAACAATGTTTACTAATTGTACAAGAGAATCTTGAACATTTAAACCAATCATATATTATAATAATTAAAATGATAATAAATAATTTTAATACAATCAAATAACTATGTTGTCCAATTGTTAGTTAATTATAATTAAAAATAATTGTGATAAATTACATATTAAAAATAATTATGACTAAGTGATAATTAAATATTAATTCATTGAACAAATAATGTACATTTGCAATTCATTGTGTATAATGTAAATATTTAAAATAAAAAGTTGATTTTAGAAGTTTTACAAGAGAATCTTGAATCAATCGTTACAATTATAATTAAAATAAATCATTTTAATGCAATTAAGCAATTGTATTACTTAATTGCGATTTAAAATAATTATGAAAATATTGTAATAAATTGTAAAGTGAAAATAAATAATAAAATATGTAACATATGATATAATTAAATAGTAAATTTAATTATAATCAAATAACGTATAATAACGTTCTCGTATAAAAGTTGTAATGAAAGAACTGTGTTAGACGCATTTTTTTCATTTCTTTGTAAGGAGGACAGTTTTAACACTTGACTGGTTAACTCTTAGCTCATTGAGCCTTGGAAGTAACAGTAACGAATTGCAAAATTTTACAAATAATTAAATATTAGAAATAATTACCTCGATACCGTAACTGGACGTCGAGCAATTGTACAGATAGGGTAAGGCCTCTTTACTTTGATCGTGTATTCGAGCAGTAAGTAAGGTAACAGCGCACGTACGAAAGATAAGGAATCCGAACGAGCCGAAGAAGTAAACTGCGCTCATTATGTTTTTATTGGGTATGCTTCAAATAAAAATAGAAAACTGGTTAGTTAATGAATAACCAACTTCATTTCCACATTTGTTATCAATAATATTAAATATTTAATAATTTATTTAATAATTAACTTAAAAATGTATTAATATTAATAAATATTTAATAATTAACTAAAAAATGTATTAATATTAATAAATATTTAATAATTAACTTAAAAATTTATTAATATTAAATTTTTAATAATTAACTTAAATTAATAATTAACTTAACAATTTATTGACTATTTAATAATTGACTTAAAAATTTATTAATATTAATAAATATTTAATAATTGACTTAAAAATTTATTAATATTAATAAATATTTAATAATTAACTTAAAAATTTATTAATATTAATAAATAATTAATAATTAACTTACAAATTTATTAATATTAATAAATAGTTAATATCAGATTGTTACTAATAATATAAATTGTATGACTAATTCTCGATCGTTCATGTGTTTGAAGTATTTTCCAATTAAAAAAAAAAAAAAGATATCTTGTTTTACATTAACGCTTTAGAACTACCAGTAGTTAAAATGATCAATCTCATTTCCTCATAAGAATTTTATAAAGTATTCGTAATTTTTTTCGAAATTTGAATGATTTTTCAAGTATAAATAAATACGTGTATAAATAAGTGTATAAATATTTTAATGATTTTACAAGTGTATAAATAAAACCTTGTGCCCTTTATTGTATTATAAACTTACGCAAACGTACTTATGATCTTTGTGATACAAATTTTATATTTTGGTCTTTTTTTTCTTTTCTTTCTATTATAAATTAAATTTAAAGGTTGCCACGAATTAAAACTTGCAACTTCGTCTCTTAATGAACTTTTGCATTTCAGTTTCTGTTTCAAAACAGAACATGACTGTATATCTACTGTATATCTACTAGCTAATTATATTTCTCTAAATGGGACTGCTGCTTATTCAATAATTACACATTGGACTACTCGTTTATCAGCACACATTACATTTATTTCTCTTGAATATGATGTGCCTCGCCCAATTGAGGCGAGTCGTAATTTCAAAACGGCCGATCCTAGAAGTAAATGCCATTAGACAAAATGAAATGGTCTCGAACATCGATCATTATGCATCAGGGCGTTTCTCGAGGACTATGGAGAAATAGAATTTTCAAAGGTTCCATGATTGATCTTATCTTTTAAAGAGGATGTATATTTTTCTATCATATAAGAGGGCATGTATATTTTTCTGTGTGCCTTTTCAATTTTCTGCAAGGAAATGCAAAAGTCTGGAGGGAATAAAGAATTGATTGAAAGATAGTTTCTCTTGTATAATATTCTAAAATATTCTTTAAATATTTTTTATTGGCGGAAGCGGTCTAAGTTCATTTTTCAAAGAAAAATCAAGCTAGCTGTTTTAATATTTACATTTCTATGTTATCTTTTCATTTTTAAATAAATTGTAACTAATATATTTAAAATCACTAAGATTTTGTACACAGAAAATTAGCTGGTTAATAGAGTGATAAAAATTTTTAGTTTGAAAATGGTTTAAGCCTCATTTTAAGAGTATCAAACTGATATGATGTATAGTATGCAGTAAAATTTTATGAGATAAGAGCTATATTTTTTATAATTAAAGTACTAGCGTTCGACTAGCTCAGACAGTGATTTTTTAATAACAATTCCACTAAATAGAAGATTCCATTTCAACTAAACCTTTAGAGGCTGCAGTTTCCAGAAAGTTGAAAAATACTAATGGAGAAAGGGTAAATTGGTTAAAAATATGTCGGATGAGTATTTTGATATAAAAATATAAGACCAATCGCAATACTAAAATACAACGATATAATGGACTTATTAAACTGTATACTACTTGTACACCATAATTATTTTAAATCCCTCCTGCATACGCAAATTAGGGAAGAATTATTACTTGAATGTAACATTTCTTTATAGTGAATAAAAGTTGAATAATTTTTTGATCTTATAACACAAAATTGTAATATTTTTTATTTTGATTTTAAGGGAATTTTATTTTTTTTAAGAGACTTGTGCTTTCTTAAAAATTAAAAAAGTTACTTGATTAATTTTGAAAGTAACTCAAGTCCACTTATAGCCATGAAAAACGTGTTATTTTCTAACAGAAAATAGAAACACAAAAACATTATACTACCAATAGTTTTAAATATAGTATGGCATAATATGGTGTACCCTGGTACAATATGTTTAATATGGTATAATGTATTATAGAACAGTGTAATGTGTTTTAATATGGTATAATATGTTATAATATTGCATAGTATAATATAATATGTATATTATTACTTATTATTATACATATTATTATATAAATGGACTTGGGCTATTTTCAAAATAAACAGCTCATATAATAATAATAATTATATACTAATAAGTATATAATTATACGTACGACAGTCCGTTTAATAGTTGAAGACAAATAAAGTAGAGGTTGTTTGCGAAAGATAGAAGAATGATTGGAGAGATGTGCTCGTCCACTTTTTTAACAATGCAGCTCAGTATCGCATAGTCTTCACGAAGTTCCCGCCAGTAGAACGTTGGTCGATACTTCGTCACCGTGACTGCTAACGTTTTGTTCAAGGATTTGTATCTTTCGGCCAAGCCAGTAGCAACCTGCGAATTCATAAAAGTAAAGAATTACTTTAATACGACATAGTTTAACAGTTCAATATAATTTAATGTGATTTAATTAACTACAATTTTAATTATAATTTCATTTCAGTTCATGAAATCGTAATAAAAGTAAAGAATTACTTTAATATAATATAGTTTAATAGTTTAATATAACTTAATGTAATTTAATTAATTACAATTTCATTTCAATTCATGAAATTACAGTAAAAGTAAAAGTAAAGAATTACTTTAATATAATATAGTTTAATAGTTTAATATAACTTAATGTAATTTAATTAATTACAATTTCATTTCAATTCATGAAATTACAGTAAAAGTAAAAGTAAAGAATTACTTTAATATAATATAGTTTAATAGTTTAATATAACTTAATGTAATTTAATTAATTACAATTTCATTTCGGTTCATGAAATTAGAGTAAAAGTAAAGAATTACTTTAATATAATATAGTTTAACAGTTTAATATAATTTAATTGTGATTAAATGTAATTAAATGTGATTTAATTAATTACAATTTTAATTATAATTTCATTTCAATTCATGAAATTGTAGTAAAAGTGAAGAATTCTTTTACGATAATATAGTTTAACAGTTTAATATAATTTAATGTGATTTAATCAATTACAATTTCAATTATAATTTCATTTCAGTTTATGAAATTGTAGTAAAAGTAAAGAATTATTTTAATATAATATAGTTTATAACAGTTTAATATAATTTAATGTGATTTAATCAATTACAATTTCAATTATAATTTCATTTCAGTTCATGAAATTGTAGTAAACGTAAAGAATTACTTTAATATAATATAGTTTAACAGTTTAATATAACTGAATGTGATTTAATTAATTACAATTTCAATTATAATTTCATTTCACTTAACTCACAATCAGTTTGAGAAGTAAGTTTTAATTTGATCGAAATTGTTATCTGATTACTTACCAGCATAATGAAAAGATCCATGAAGTTCCACGTAAACGTCGCCAGTTTGCTAACGACGAAGACGTACAAGCCGATGATGAAATTGTAATCCACTGAAAACAAAGATGAGCCTGATTTATAAACGATGTCATTCGCTTTCGAATTTTGGTTTTTCTGTTTCAAGTCTCACATGTGTCAAAGAGGAATGAATGCGATCGCAGAGTGTATGTCTCCAAGAAGCTGTGAAACGTTGAGTTTGGTGCGTTCCAGTCGTATCCCTCGACGCTGTTGAACATGCTCAGAACATGTTCTATAAAAGACAACACCAGTGTCACGGTACTTAGGAAGAAAAATTTCCATCGTAGCCGCGTAGGTTCTATAGAATTGCTGTAGAGCAGAGTGACACATGAAATTTTACTTCATGTCTATCACAAAATAAATATTATTATCATACATGTCATGAAGCATCATGCTATACATTCAGATTTATTGATCGTTCTTACGATCATGAAGCATCATGCTATGCATTCAGATTTATGCTATACATTCAGTGTCATGCAACACATTTGATTGCTCTTGTGATTTGACTGCGGATTACGTGGAAGAGTATAACATTCAATAAATTATAAAAATATAAAATTTAACAAACTACATTTAATAAATTAATTAAATTAAAGTATATGTACATTAATTAAATTAATTTGCTATAATATCAAGCGAATAACAATAAATTATAATAATATATTTCTGAAATTTCATACAAATTAATTTTCTATTATCATAAAAACATAATTCTATACAAAGACCGTCAGACCACTCTATTAATTTATTACTAATTTTTTAACAGACTCAATTGAAAAAGAAATTTATTGGAATGTGTCACGTACTTTTACGTGTTACGTTGCACTATGTTGCGCTATTAGTATAACATTTTTTTATTACTCTGCGAATCGCTGCTGATAATATTATTGTCGTCGTGTTATTATGTCTATTGTATAATGATTTATATAACTTTTTTGAATAACAGAGAAATAAAAAGAAAGAAAGAAAAACATCCACATTATGTGCTAACAAACGTAAAATACATAATGAGGAAAGGAAGCGCGTTCCTCTCGCCAGTGCAGGGAAAAGCTTGCAGCCAGATATCAGATTATCGGTGAATCTCTCGGTATCGCGGCGCTTGCACGTTAAAATAAACCAATTATTGTAGTTTCCTTGTGCAATTAACGGGCATCAAAGCTCGCGTGTACACCAGATAAGCAGCAAACAACGCGATTAGCAAACCGATGAATCTAGGAGAAATGTCGACGATGTATCGACCTGTCTATGTATCGTTCCATGGCCCTCCATTCGCGCTGAAGCGACACCCAACGTAACGACAACCGGAAAAACAAGATGCTGCCCATCAAGCTGTTTCCATAGAATACAGCACCACCTGTCGCCTCAGCTATGCCACCTAAAATGCAATATATACGTGACTTATTAATATTCATAATTATAATATATAACCAAAATTATTACTTATTAATTTCAAAATTATAATATATAAACAAAATGAACGTGCGAAGCGTGCAACCTATCAACAATTATTATTACATCTGTCTAATTACTATTGTTATTATTAATGTAATTTCAATTAGGATTATCAAAAAAGTGTTTATTGCGTTTCGAATATATATTTTTAATACTTCATGGAAAATTATTATTAAACCTGTCTAACTATTATTATTATTATTATTAATGTAATTTCAATACAATTATCAAAAAAATGTTTATTGCGTTTCGAATATATATTTTTAATACTTCATGGAAAATTATTATTAAACCTGTCTGATTATTATTATTATTAATTTCAAAAATTATTATTATTACTAATGTAATTTCAATACGATTGTCAAAAAAATGTTTATTGCGTTTCGAATATATATTTTTAATACTTCATGGAAAATTATTATTAAACCTGTCTAACTATTATTATTATTATTATTAATGTAATTTCAATACAATTAACAAAAAAATGTTTATTGTGTTTCGAATATATATTTTTAATACTTCATGGAAAATTATTATTAAACCTGTCTGATTATTATTATTATTATTATTATTATTATTATTATTACTAATGTAATTTCAATACGATTATCAAAAAAATGTTTATTGTGTTTCGAATATATATTTTTAATACTTCATGGAAAATTATTATTAAACCTGTCTGATTATTATTATTATTATTATACTAATGTAATTTAAATACAATTATCAAAAAAATGTTTATTGTGTTTTGAATATATATTTTTAATACTTCGTCGTAAGATTCTTCTGCAACGTTTGTCAGAAGTTATTTCAAAATTTTTTAATTACATGTAAACTAGGATATATATATAAGGATGTGATCATTCTCACTGCCATCATTCAAAAATGATCATCGAACCTATTTAATTATTATTATTATTCTTATTAATGTGATTTAAATATATGAGAATTATCAAAAATTCTAAATCATCATCGAGCATCGTCTTTGAATAATTAAAATTACGAAATTTCATTGAAAATCATTGCAACTGTGTCCCTTAAAATGCAATGTAATGTTGTTTATCTTGTCTTGAATATAATTCTTAATAATTGAAAAACTACATATATTTCGTTTTTAAAAGAGACTCTTAGTAGTGATAAAATTGAAATTAGAATAAACTTCTTAATAGAGTAACAAATTCAATTTTTATTGCCGTTAGTCTCGTATTGTATGTAACTATATATATATAACATAAATATTATAATATAATAATAATAATTATAATTATTATTATTATATAATAATATAATATAAATATTATATATAAATATGCTACTTGTAAATATTATATATATATAATATACACATATATATATATATATATATATATATATATATATATATATATATATATATATATAAAATATTCACAAGTAGCATATTTATATCATATCTATATTTGTGTAGTAATTTTCTTTCTCCTGTTTCTTTCTTCCATTAAACATAGATGTCTGTACATTGATTGAATGGTAAAATGATTGAATTATTTCCAATAGTTACATATTATAGTAAAAATGGAAAAAATATAATAGAGTAGGTAATAGATTAATAGCATAAATAGTAAAGTAAAGTAGAACAAATAGTACCTATAATTCTATGTAATACATAGTTGTATAAATCATTTCCAATAGAAACAGAAGAGGAAAATATGATTGAGGAGTATTACTTACCACGTGTACGAAACGTTTTGGCGTTAAGAGTTTTCAACATGTGACACATCGATACGATCGTTGTGAGAAATACCATTGCGGCGATGAAACATGAATAAAATGTGATGAACGAAAATATCTTGAACCGGAGCTTTGAGGGTGATACAGACCGAATCCCAGTCATCGGGAACAAACCGAATAACCGAGCCATACTTAAAACAGGCCCGATCGCACAGTGAAAACTCTCTATTGCCTGCAAAAAAAAAAAAAAAAAATAAATAAATTACATTAAAAGAAAAAACTAAATTATACAAATAATATTCATACGCAGTCATGAAAAATGTTTTGAATATATTAATGCTCGAAAGATAAGAGCCAACACTGTGTTAAGACAATATTTCATTTCGATCAATTGGTATTATCAAATTTTTTAATAATGTAAGATTCTATAATCTTGTAAAATTTAAAATTACGAAATTGAAGCAGTTATATTCTGTTAAGTTATTCACTCATCGATTGTATTTACGTTAGTGAACATTACGTTTACTAATTTAATATAAAGAATTATATATATATATAACATGACGTTCGTTACTTAGGTGAGGAAATCTCTGCTTAGGTGTCCATAAAAATTTAAATTTGCACAAATATTCGTCCAGTTATAATAATAAATAAAAATCGAATTTTAAGACATAACGTTGGCTACCAGAGAACAGAAATGAATTTTAAAACTATTTAAAAGTAAACGTTTCACGGAATGAAGAAAACTCTCACGTTGATGTCTGTGGAATCATTTCGTCCATCCTGATGCCTTCCAACGAGCAAACTGTTCGTTGGATTCGCGCTTAATTCCTGGACATTGCTGTTATCCTTGTGATACGTGAAAGAAACCTTTAAGTTAGAAGGTTTGCTTCTAAGAGGTATTTCACACAAGGCGTCCTTCGATTTTAACATTATAAATTGACCCTCCTGCACGTTTATGTATACCACCGTTACATCGTGCATCTAGTATGATCCTGTCGAAACAATCATGCAATTATTCCATTATGCAGTTATTAAGCAATACTGCAATGATGAATGTAATTGAACGAATTAATTGATGTAATGAATTCCAAAAGAATTATTAATTATTAGTCGGATGACGAAATTATTTACATGTAAAAGGAGATTCATTATAAAATTATAAAAAATAAATAATAATAGTAACGATAATATAAATATAATAAATATAAATATAAATTAGTAAATATGGTAATATAAATATAATCAATATAAATATGAATTAGTAAATATGGTAATATAAATATAAATTAGTAAATATGATAATATAAATATAATAAATATAAATATAAATTAGTAAATATGGTAAATATAAATATAATAAATATAAATATAAATTAGTAAATATAGTAATATAAATTAGTAAATATGGTAATATAAATATATAAATATGGTAATATAAATATAATAAATATAAACATAAATTAGTAAATATGGTAATGTAAATATATAAATATAAACATAAATTAGTAAATATGATAATATAAATATAATAAATATAAATATAAATTAGTAAATATGGTAATATAAATATAATAAATATAAATATAAATTAGTAAATATGATAATATAAATATAATAAATATAAATATAAATTAGTAAATATGGTAATATAAATATAATAAATATAAATATAAATTAGTAAATATGATAATATAAATATAATAAATATAAATATAAATTAGTAAATATGGTAATATAAATATAATAAATATAAATATAAATTAGTAAATATGGTAATATAAATATAATAAATATAAATTAGTAAATATGGTAATAAATATAATAAATTAGTAAAAATATAATAATTCAGTTTTTTCTATCTATTGTCTATTTTCGTTACTGAAAGAAAAAACAAGTAATGGAATCCTTAGAAATATTGTTTTCATCCACTGTTGATACTGTTGATACAGATTAAATCCTTTTGATAAACGGGCTATCGTCTAGAGAGAAATGAGTGATATTCTGCTATTAATCTTGACAATTGAAAACACAAAAATAGCATTGGTCATTTAGCTCTTCCTAACGAGGATGGGAAACAGTTTTGATAAATGGTTTTGGTGTGAAGGTAATTAATTTTTATTCAATAACAGCCTATGTCAAGAATCGCGAATGAATCATTTTTTGATGATACCCATTTTAATAGATATACTACATCGTAGACCTAATTTTTGTCAGCTACTGAAATATATGTATTGCAATCTAAAAATTTATGAAGAAATTTCTATTATAAGAAATCTGACAAGAGTCATTTTTACTAAAATTTATTAAATCTTTATTATTATCAATTTTGTATAATTTTTACTGAATAACATTTTATTCTAGTATTATTATACGAGTAATATTTTATTCGACGATTTTATTTCAATAAATTAGTCTGCATATTTAGAATCTGGATATTGTGGTTGAGTTATTATTAACAACATTATTATTAGTTGTTATTAGTAACATTATTATTGCTCTTTCATATTTTCTACATACATACTAAAACTACTATAATATACAGATGCAATAAACAAATGTTTTATATTCTTCACATTATACAAATAATTTTTTTACACATATCAATCTCTGTAATTAAAAAATCATAATGAAATACTTTTAAAATGTTATTCTAATATTAAAATGTTAAAATAAATTTAAAAATTTTGTAGTAGTTTTGATTAAGTTTCACCTCCTTTTCTTCTTAATTAAAAATATTAATTTTAAAAAATCAAGAAATTAGATGCAAAATTAAATCTCGAGAAGAAGAACAAAATGGCACATTGAATACATAATTGTATAATAAAATAATAATTAGAAGGTAATGTACTGTCTACCAAGAGATTTGAAAACAAATATTATTTGTAATTCTGATAACATATTCTGCCATCAAAAGTGTCGATAATATATATTGGAAAATATTTAAAATTTATATTATATTATAATATAACATTTTATCATATTATACAGGTATTTCTAACATATAACATAATACATTTTGTAAGAAAAATGTGCTAAGTTGACACATTGAAAAAAATTTATAATTTAATAAAGAACACAAGCATTCATTTATTATTCTACACTATTATTATTATCTTTTATACGTTATTATTACTAAAAATTATTCAAGTCCTTCAAAATATACTATTATAAAAATTTCTGTGGAAGATTACAAATTGGTCATTTTTTTTTTTTTTTTATACATTTTGGTAGTTCCAGGTAGTTAATGAAGCATATTTTTGCTTCCTCGTTCAATAAAACTCCCCTTTTGTACACAGCTACACCAAAGTTTCAAATTTCCTCTTCCCCGAAGATAAATAATACTATTTCTAAAAAAGAAAAGGGAACAGGTAATAAATAATATTCTACAACCTACGTCGTTACTATCGTATTTCATCGATCTAACCGTTAACCGCGCCAATATTTCACGCTGTATCCACCCCTTGACAAAGCATTTCGTAGTTTCAGAAATACGAACTGACGTCTCGTTTTTCAAAACCTGTAGAGTTACGTGAGGTTGAGTCGCGAGTAACGTTAACAAGACACGCGACAAATTTCGATAGGTTTTACGAGAAAGTAGCATCGTTCGCAGGACTCGGTGGAGTTCCAATTTAATTATCAAGCGTTGTAGACATTCTACGCGATGACGCACACCCCGAGACAACCGATCCCAATGATGCATTATATTCCAGGAAGGAGGTGACCCGTGTTTATCTAGGATACGAAACAGCCTGTTTTAACCCTGAAAAGTCTAAGGTTAATTGCCGGCTTTCTATCTTTATATCTGTTGTTCTTTCGTTTTTTTTTTTTAAAGGACTATCGGGATATATGTAATTGGATTAAAAGAGACAGAAATGAATACACGTAACGCGACGCATACCTATATTTCATTTGCAGATTTTGAGAATTCTCAGACATTGTACACAATTGTTTCGAATTGATTATCAACTATTGGTAAATTAAAGAATTATTTATTATCTCTTTCCTTTTCCTTAGAAGTTCTATTATTTATCTTTTTATTGACGTTATTATTAAATATTAATATTGATTAACTGAAGGGTGAATAAGTGACTTGAAGTTTTCAAAATGTGCGAGGGATTTTTAATTTTGTAAGTAAAATATTTCAGAAAAATTAAATAATAGGAAATAAACATGTCGTTCAAATGTGTATAAAATTTATGTTCACAATATAATATAATTTTGAATCAAGTTTCACACAATATTTTCTAGATTCCACTATATTAATTTTCCCAACATACACACTGGTATAAAATTGTTGTATAGATATAGGGAAATGATAAAAGATACGTCCTTTTTTTTGGGGTGGGAATAGATAACTCATATTCGTGTATTTTATCGATGTAATCTAAGTTTATGAATTACTTACGTTCCGTTTCTCAAATAAGTTCAGTAGTACGATTAGATTTATATTGATAAAGATAAAGGTAAAAATAGAAACCTAAAAAAACGAATATATAAAAGATGTCTCGGTAACTTCAATCACTGTTACTTTTAAAAATATTTAAAAAAATGTTATGCTATAGAGAACCATTTAATATCGGTCATAATTTCTTTTTGTGATAATAAATATAAATAGTATTTTCAGGTAATTGGTGAAACTAGAACTTCTTTCATTAGTATCAAAGAAGCTTTTCAGTTCACTGATTGTGAGTTAGGTTTTATAGGATACATTAAACTCATAATAAGTTGAAATTTCCAGGGTACATTAAAAATCGTGTGCCAAGAATAACTAACAACACATATGACAGAAGACAAAAAGCCATTGTAGAATTTGCAGTTTATTTCTTATAACGTAAGGCTTACTGTTTTATTCCTCTATTTATGGCCGAGTGACCTTGTAACAGAAGTCATTGAAATAGCATAAATTTACTATGATATTAAAAAATAATTCGTCATGATATAATGCAAATGATCTTAATTTATCAATTTAGTTTTGAGAAATACTCCATTTATAAAAAAAAGACATAGTATCTTTTATTTTGTACTTTCTATATTTATGAAAGCAATTCTGAAAGACTTAACGTAAAGATTTAGACTTAACTTTATTTATCCCTTCGAAAATGATATAAAAATATTTTTCTCTCACAAATTTTGCGAATCCAAATGTCTTTAACGAAATATGAAAAATTTTTTTCATAAATAAATCTACCACAATTCCTCCTGTACGACAATTCCTCAAAATACGATTTTTTCGACAAAGTGATAAGAGTTTAGAATATCGATAACTTTTCATCGAGTGTATGTACTGTTTAATAGAAATCAAAAATATCTTGATAAAAATGATATAGATAATTTGTAAATTCAGTTGATTTTTGACTTAAAATGAACTAATTTCACAATGTTATAATATTAAGATGATCTCAATAGAAAAATGAAGCTAATTATACATTATAAAATGCAATTAATAACTTTTAAATTTCAAAACTTATGTCAATTATTTTTTATAAATTATTCAGTCTTTTTTAATATTTTATGTGATTATTGTTTATAGAAAGTTAAAAATATATGTGAAACAAATGTTGATAGAGTATATGCTGATAGTATTACAGAATTACAATAAATTCTCACGAGTAAAGCTATTTCTATGTAAGAAAATCTAACAAAAAAATTTCACATTGCCGTTCGTGCGCTGTAAATTAATTGTTTCCTTTTTAATAAATCATTCTAATTCGTTAATTAGATTGAACATTAGTTTTTAAATATTAAATAAAATACTTATAAATTTTTTATTATAATGGTGCAACAAAATAGAAAAATTACTAAAATTAATTTTATTGATAATTTCTTTCAAATGTATTATTATCTTATTTCTTGCAATTATCAAATTATGAAACTGAAAAAAATATTCATTTTATGAAATGTACTTAAATTTTTTAATTATTTACTATTTATAGAATTTATTTTTACAACAAATAAACATCTATAGATCACCTAAAATCGCTATTCATTCTAAAAAAAAAATCTGCATACGTTTAAACAAAACAATTTACTTTATACATTTTACAATACAAAGAAATATTGTAGATAAAAACTGTCGAATTTATATGTTACTTAAAAAATAATTTGTGTTGTAAAATAACGTGTAGAATAAATCTTCTTGTTCAAACATATGCAGATTTTGCTTAACAGGAATAACATTTTAAGTAGTTTATAAATACTTGTTTATTTTAAAAATAAATTCCATAAATAATAATGCGTTATTTAAAGTGTTTCAAATAAAAACTACCTATATAATAAAGAATAAACATACGTGCGAATTTTAATCTTAATTAATAAATAATATTAAAGGAATATTATTTTATAGTATATCGAAATACAATTGAATATTTAATATTTTTAAGTATTTAAATTTAACTTTAAAGAAATTTAAATAGAACACTCACTAGATTAGCCATCTGTAAATTCTAATGTTTAATGTTGTACATTATGAAAAACGAAGAAAGCAAATGCAACAGGTCGACTTTTAATAAGAACAAAAGAGAATCCACTGCACGAGTATATCACTGTGGACTAACTTGTAAAATATTTCTTGATTCCGAGGAAGTGTACTAGAAACTCGGACCTGCGCCATGCATGTTTGATCAGATAAACGCTTGTACTACTAGTTTCTCACGCGCTCACTTAGCACAAATCAACTATAGAATAAAATATAGCTGATAACTGATCATTTAGGCATTTAATATTTATAGAATTCTCTATACCTATAAATATTTCTTTTACTCTAATTTATTGGATTACTTGACTATAAAAGGAAAAAGATTCAGGTAATAATATGTACTTTAAATTATAAATTCTATTTTATTTCATATGAAAATTCAATTTAATTGAATATTTAAATGAAATTTGATGTTACAGTTGCATATGTGAAATAAATATAATTTTAGTCCACAAATAACAATTATAAAACAAATTATAACTGCGATCGGCAAATTTCTCTGGCGAAACTACCAGCAAGTCGGCGCAAATTTAGATTTTTAAAGTTATTTATGCATAGTTGATTTATCATATATACAAGGGTAATGAAAAACAGAATATTTTGAAAATGATATATTTTGTGTAATATTAATTATAGTGCATAAAAATTTTAATTTTTGTAATTTTCCAAAGTATGATACTTAACAATCACCGATATGAAGCCCTTCCAAATACAGGTATCACAATACGTATGTGTTTCTCTGGAATTTTCCTTTCGGAACATACTTTCTTTAGGGCACAGTCTTTTTTAGTTCCTGAACGAAGTACATGAAGCTTACCATTTAACTTGGTTTCTACAGATGATGTTGAAGGTTGCGCCCCAGATGATGTATCGTTTCTAAAATTTCCTACTAATTAATCAATTAAGTGTTTTACAAAATTTAAATGCGTTATCTCATTGTTAGTTTCTTTCATCTTTTTGTATATATATATGAATTAACAGCGCACATCTCCATACCCGCAAAAAATAATTTTCCCCATTATTTAAGAGATTTTTTTGAGGAAACAATACGTTGCTACATATTGGTCGGTGCGCTCTACTGTTTTCATTTTTTTTTTTTTTTTTTAATTTATAGTTATAACTGGCTTCCTTACATTTACTATACCATCACTGTTTCTTCACTGTAACGGATTTGAGGTTTACTGCATCGCAGGTACTTAAGAAAGTTACAACTCGTTTGCTTTTCCATGCGAGGAGATGTATTCCTTTTCTTATATGCCATAATGGACTTCTCCGCAAATTTAGGTTTTTTAATTCCAGCTGGCAAATGTTTTCTATTTGGCATTATAATACCAGTTAAGTGGACCTTTAGTTTCAAAAGTTTGTCAGCGAGCGAGATACTTGTGTCTGTCGGTATACAAGTAAGAGACCTTGGCGTTTGAAATGTTGTCCAGAAGTTTTTTTTTTTACAAATGTTAATGGAATTCGAGAACTAACCGGAAGTTCTGGTTTTTCTAAACTTTCAGTTATCAAACTACCATAATAGGGCAAAATTGAGTAAACACAGTTTCCCTATCCGCCAATACATATTAATATAATAACTTTTATACCCCACTTGGTAGGTTTTTTTGAATTACACGTTATGAATGCAATTTTTCCGTTGAATTTGACTACTGATTCATCCACACAAATATCCTTACCAGGTATAAAATGTTCTGTTCAATATATTTTAAAAAGCCTTTTGCCTACCATTTGTTTGCTTTTTCAGTATGGGTTCTAATAGGTCTCTCTTCTGATACATTGAATCTGTCTTTTGTAAATACTTCCGAATAGAATGGAATTCTGTTGTTGAACCTAATCGACTAATATTCCACAATACTTGCAAGTGGCATTGTTCCCATATTAAGAATTACTCCAATAAAAGCCATAAATTCTTCAGACGTGTTACGTTTACCCACGAATGCCAAATTGATTTTCTAGACAACTGTTTTTCACTTATCTTCCTTTTTGCATATTCATTAGTCTCTTTTATTATTTTATCTATTAATATATCAGTGAAATATAATTTTAAAAAGTCCAACGGTTCTTTTATATCCTGAAATATTTGTGGTTCTGCAATTCGCGGAAAGTTTTAGCGGAAAAGCAAAGCTAAATGGTAAATTGTACTTTTCTGTTACATCCTCCAATCCATCACTTTCATGTAGGTCTTCTATTTGTTCTGAATGTTCTTTGTCACTTTCACTATCCTCACTATAATTTACAGTTCTTACTACCTTCCATTTCTTCAGAGAAATTATAGAATTATCACTAGTGTCACTTGCATGATCAAGTACAGAATCATATATATTTGAATTATTTACGTTTTTATTATACATTTCAAATTCTAAGCCATCATTATTACTCTCATAATCTTGAACCGCTAAGCTCCTCCATTTTTGGAATGCTATGATATTAACTGGTGGTAAACGAACTGTATATTTCACGAGCGAATTTGAAGTCTGTAATTTTTTGTTTACAAACTTATGTCTTTATCGTACAATATTTTGTGCAGACCGTAACATGGACAAAGTTGCAATATGTACTATTACTGAAGTATTTAATTATTCTAAATCTATTTATTACATAAAAAACTTTTAGGTACATTTCTACAAAAGTTTTTTTTACTATGTTGAGAATTTCAATTTTTAATAAGTGATCAGTGAACATAATCAGACTGTAGTTAGAAAAATTCAATAAATCTTTTTTATGCTCTTCGACTGATACTTTTATTATTTTGTATTTACATTTTTTTAATGAAACTAATATAAAATTTGTATACAATTATTACCAAATTGCACGTTGTACACCACTCATTCTATTATGGTCAGCCAAATCTCTGAACATGATTCTTGATACTCTCCACTTAGGCACAACACCCCGTGGACGAGAAGTTAATATACAACGTGGTGTTAATTGTCTTAAAGCTGTTTGACGTGGAATTGTCTCGTCTATTTGTTTACCAACTTCTTCCTAAAATGTAATCAAATCATCTGTATTTTCCTACATAAACTTTATGTACTTGTATTACATTTTTAGGTTATATAAAGTGTATATGATATACCCGAATTTCTAATGGCAAAATATCATTTCTTTTCATAGCAACCAGTCGTAATCGCTCTTCTGCATATTTCTCTGCCAATTTTCTTCGTTTAAGATCACGAATCATCCATCGACCAATATATTTGTTACGTATTTGCTGAATCTAAACGAAAAATAAATTCTATAAGGAATATAGTTTTCTACTCATATATCAACAAATCAATAAATATTATATGCGGAAAAATTTTAAAAATTGTTTCTACTTACATCGTACGTTGCAACATTTGCACTATTCGAAAGAAAATTCGAAAATATAAACAAACCATTCCTTACGACAGCCATGTTTATCTCAACAGCTGTCTGCGAAATTCGCTACGTTATAAAACCCACATAATACATTGAATACACAATCATAAAAATTATCATACTATTTATATTTTATAAATAACAAAATTTGTAAAACAAATAATCACAATATCAAAAACAAATTTTTAAATTAATTTTATGAAAATAGATCAGCAAATAGTGATACATACTTTGCAATAAAAGAACTTTAATCTTTGGTCTTTTAAACTGGTCACTTATAGAAAACAAGTTACATCGAATTATTTAAGTTTTACTAAATATAAATATTTTATATATCACATCGTAATTAATTTCTTATTTTAATATGTGAGAAGAAATGAAACACATATAAACACTTTTAGAACAGGATAAAGGTAGTAAGGTGTAATAGAACATACAATACATAAAATTGTTTCTGTAGCTCCTTTATTTTTATTCATTATTATTGTTATCTCTATGTATGTACAGAAAACCGTTGTTAACCAATTTTAATCGGAAAATCGCGGCTAAAAGTGCTGTACCATTGTGGAGCAATCATATTTCCGCACATACTTCTTTTTAATATAGAACGTGTAAAAAGATAAGGTAAATCTTTGTAAAGACATATATTGTAGAAAAGTGTTGTGTATATATTTTTAGCAGTTCAATTCCTTACCTAGTCAGGTAATCAGAAAGTAATAAAAAAACAGGTCCCGTCTCCCAACCAAATTCATACTGGAACTACCAAATTTTCCTTTTCTCGCTCCCAATTCTTTTTGTATCGATGTATCCCGACTTAATGAAAAATTTTAAAATTTGTTAAATTTTAGTTAAACTTTATGAAAAAAAGATTCGGAAATATGAAGCATTTTACTGATAAAAGGACCATGATTAATTAATAACGGCGGCAAAAAATAATGAGATGTTTCTCCAATATCGCAGATGTAGGATTTATTTCCGTATAATTAGAAAATATAATTAAGCCGAGCTAAATTATGATGTAGATGTGAAACAGGTGTTATAAGTAGCTTTTTTCATAGTTTACTTTCTTTTCTCATGGAACTCACAGGCGAGAACGTCGGCTTCATACCATTGTTGGCTGTTCTTACCTTTCCTACGAAATTCTTTACGATGAGAAAAATGACGGAGTAACCATTTCGATAAATGGAATATACGAATATCAAAAAAAGGTGGCAAAGATGCAATTACATGCACAAAAAATGCCAGTCTTCGCGATTCTTTACCGATTCTATTATCCTTAATTGTTGGTCGCGATTTCGTAGAAAATATTACAGTCCCCAATGGGAACGTAACGTTGTTCTCGTGCGAGGAACGTGAAGAAAGAAGGTAAACTATTTCAGCTACTATACGCCGAAGCCCATCTGGCGATACACATATACGGAAACTAGTTATTTCTTTTTCTGGGCTTTCTCGGCAGCCTTGGTGACCTTGCCTGCAGCATCCTTGAAATTGACAGCTTTGATAACACCGACAGCTACCGTTTGACGCATGTCACGAACAGCAAAACGACCTAGCGGCGGGAATTCTTGGAAAGCTTCGACGCACATAGGCTTGCTCGGTACGAGCATAACAATGGCAGCATCTCCCGATTTGATAGATTTAGGATTTTCTTCGGTGGTTTTTCCATTACGACGGTCACACTTTTCTTTAATATCAGCGAATTTACACGCAATATGTGCAGTGTGACAATCTAACACTGGCGTATATCCATTACTGATTTGGCCAGGATGGTTCAACACAATAACCTAAAATAAAAATATAGAATATTCATTTTCTTGAATTACTAGATATAAATATACATATAAAAATTTTTCATAAATAGCAATCAGACGTTTTAAACCATCATTAAGTCTCAAAGACTTTCCGAAGAAACCACGAATGAAATTGAATTAAGTTTTCATCATTTTGCCAGTTAATAGAAATTTGCTTCTAGTTTCTAATATTATGTTAAATATATACCTGTGCAGTAAAATCAGCAGCACCTTTAGGTGGATTGTTCTTCGAATCACCAGCAACATAACCACGACGCAGTTCTTTAACTGATACGTTCTTGACGTTAAAGCCAACATTGTCACCAGGAACAGCTTCTTGCAAAGCTTCGTGATGCATTTCAACGGACTTGACTTCAGTGGTCAAACCAGCAGGTGCGAATGTAACAACCATACCTGGTTTCAACACACCGGTTTCAACACGACCAACTGGTACTGTTCCAATACCACCAATTTTGTATACATCCTATAATCATATCATAATATTACCATCTAGTCTTTTAAGACAAAAACAATTTTCAAAAAATTAAATTTAATCAGACGTTACTGTCCATCATTAAATTACAAAATTTTCCGTGGAAATCGCGAATGAAAAATTAATGTTATCATCATAAGTAACAAAAATAAAAATGAACAGGTTGGTGAATTAGGTTAGAAACTTACTTGAAGAGGAAGACGGAGAGCTTTGTCTGTTGGTCTACTTGGCGGAAGAATGGCGTCAAGCGCTTCAATAAGACATTTTCCTTCAACTTTGCCTTCCTTGCGTTCGACAGTCCATCCCTTGAACCAAGGCATTTTTGAAGAGGCTTCCAACATGTTGTCCCCGTGCCAACCAGAAATTGGCACGAATGCGACAGCAGCTGGATTGTAACCGATTTTCTTAATGTAAGATGACACTTCTTTCTTAATTTCCTCAAATCGGGTCTCGGAGTATGGTGGTTCAGTGGAGTCCATCTTGTTAACACCAACAATCAGCTGTTTTACACCAAGGGTAAAAGCGAGCAGAGCATGCTCACGAGTTTGTCCATTCTTTGAAATACCGGCTTCAAATTCACCAGTACCAGCAGCAACAATCAGTACGGCACAATCTGCTTGAGAGGTACCGGTAATCATGTTCTTGATAAAATCTCTGTGTCCAGGGGCATCAATAATAGTAACATAATATTTTGAAGTTTCAAACTTCCACAGAGCAATATCAATGGTGATACCACGTTCACGTTCGGCCTTCAGTTTGTCCAGTACCCAGGCATATTTGAAGGAACCTTTGCCCATCTAAAAATTTTTTCCCATCATATTAAAATTGCAATATATATATATATATTACATATATATAAAATATCTAATATAATTATATTATATTTAAAAATCTTCTTGTTAAAAAAAAAAGATTCATCACTGTGCCAAGGTAAATTACCAGTGACCATGTTTTCGCCAAATTTTTATAATTAATAACTGATATAACCTATTTCTTTATAAATGTAATTGCATGCGTTACTTACTTCCTGGGCTTCCTTCTCGAATTTCTCAATTGTACGTTTGTCAATACCACCGCATTTGTAGATCAAATGACCAGTGGTAGTTGATTTTCCAGAATCGACGTGTCCGATGACAACAATGTTAATATGAATCTTCTCTTTTCCCATTGTGTAGCGTTGATAAAACTTTACTGATTAACTCTGAAATAAAACTGCATACAGCAATAGATTAAAAAAAATATGCAAATGAAACGTTAAACACAAAATGTTTAAAGTAGATCGAAAGATATATCACGTGCGGATATTTTCATTTTACGATTAAAACTTTTCAAATATTCTTCCAGATTTAAAGAAAATTTTGTTTGAAAATGCTAATTCTTGATTAACGATAGACATGTAGTTGCGCGAATTTTGCTTTTCTTTTATTGAGAAAGCAGCAGGTGTCTGTATTAACGTCCACGTGGCGGTATCTGAATATTCGAGAACGGAACTGGCGGCCATTTTGTACATGGGGAGAAGAGCAACGTTGCCACAATTGCTAGACGCTTGGCGTTGCACAATGTCACGTTACGAGTTACTTTTAATAATTTTCAATAAAAGGAGCCATGCCGTGTTCACATACGTTTAAATTTTATTAATTACTCGTTGAAATTTCCGTCAAAAACGGTATATATTTGAATTACACAGACATAAAATGTTCTACGATTTTAAGCAATTTCTTCGGCATTAAATTGTATTTAAGACGAAATTGACAACTAAACGAGATTGTCGAACTAAAAGAAAGATCAGAAATATTTGAAACTGAAAATATCGTACGACAGCTGAGTGTTTCATATTATGCAATTACAATATGATAACATCGAAACCGCTATGCCGTTCTATTGTCAAGTTCTGCACGATATAATTTTCACTTGTTAACACTGACACAACGAGAAATGTCGTGACAATAAAAAAAGACTGATTTGATGATCAACCACGCTGGAAATCAGCAAGCAAGCTCCATTGTTGGCGAAGAGTCATCCCACAATGTCGTCATTGCACACGATTTCCAGTATACGTATACGTATCTGGATACTGAATTTAAGAAATTCAGGCAACAATTACAGCTCCTTTTCTACCATACGATTAAAATTACTTGGATTTATGTTCCTTTTTTTAAATTTCTGGACTAGAAAGACCTTTTACATCACGAACGTAATACTCCAGCAATTTTCGAACTCGTGACCGTAGCTCTGACAAGCGACCGCCATACTGTATCCGGTTTGCGTTTTTCCAATCTTTCTTCTTTTTTAATTTAAAAGGCACATTTAATTACTCGTTTTATCGTGTAAATTATTTCGTACGGTTAACAGTTAATTGCGAGATTCAACGCGTTTTCCCGAGAGCGATTTCGACGAACGATTTCAATGAAGATCAGCATGTGGTCCGTATTTGAAACAGCCGGCGAATATAACGATTAACCACGCGCCCATTTCTCAACGTAATAATTCACCGAAAAATATAACATTTCAGAAAAACTATTCTCACAACACATTTCTCCTGTATTTCGTTCGTTGTTCTATGCCGTACCTGAAGTCCGATGCTACCTTCTTGGTAAGAAAATCGACGGATTATGCTCCTATGCGTAAACCACGTACAACCACTCACCTTCAGATGCTACGACAGAAAGAGATCGTTCAAGTGAAGTGACATGCGCACACGGCTTGCCCACCGTAGCCTCAAACCCAGCGCCCTCACCATATCGATCATTTGTAAAACAGTATATCTTTTTTTTCTGTATTATTTATTCTTTTTTTGTCATGCCATTAATAATTTCGTACATTATGGAAAATAATGTTTAATTATTTTTTCTGTAAACTTGTAAAAAGATCATTAGTTTTAAAAAACTATGAAATTAAAGTTTTTAGAAGGATGAAGCGCTGGGTTTGAGGGTACAGTAACGCAGCAACAACAGGCGTGCCGAGACTCATATATATGTATAGATAGTCCTGGGATGCATATATGTGTTGGAACATGGAACACAGAAAAAGATAGGTATACTCCAGAGAATGTTAGCTCACAGCATTTAGCAGGGATACATTAGTATGTTCATAACACACGAATGTACTGGATTTAATGCTGTAATCCTCAATCTGTCGAATTTTAAGGTACTAAATAATAATACAAGGTAATGTCTGATTTTTTTGTTTTTAGATTTCATTAGAATATTTTATTGAAAACTGTTAGACAAGTTTCAAACATCTATCGTTTAAAGTAACAAAGATATTCAATTGTCATAAATCACTATGTAAATAAGAATTTAATCCTTTGTAATGTAATAAATTAAAAATTTATCATTGAAGTAAATACATGATTACACAATATTAGAACATGTTAGAAATTAAATTGTATAATATATTGAAAATATAAAAATTAATATATACACACATACTTTATTCAAATAAAGTATATATTCAATTATATTATACAAATAAAGTACAGATAAAAATATGAAAATGCAGATTAAATTTTGCCAATGATATGATTGCTTCATAGATTTATAGGCATAATAGAATTTTTTATTATACCTTTCTAGTATAATTTTTAATATGAAATTGATATTTGTTAAATAATCAAATAACTTATATTTTATTATAAAAATTGATATTTATAAATTTGTGATTCTTTAATTTTTCCCTTAAGTTTTTAATTTTTTGATATTGAATCTTTGAGTATTTGAATCTTTTATGCAGTTATATATCAAGAATAACTAATGATTTAAAAATTATTCATGGTAGAAGGTGAAAAAGTGATCTCGAACAAATGTTCAAGGCACAGATGATATCTTGTTACAGCCCTGGATTGCTGTTACAATACCTTTCCGGTGGCGATAAAAGAACATAACTCCCTCAAATTTCTATAGTAGTGTGCTATTTATTTTTCTTCAATCACACAAGACTTTTTGTTCATATCCTCTTTATTTATTGTAACTGTATTATTTTTTACTACAATATTAGTTTTTACTACGTATGTACAAATGTATTATTTTATAATATTTAAGAATGAATACCAATTGCAAAATATTTATTATTTAACTGCAATGTGACGTGAGATTATAATATAACTAATATTATATATATTGATACGCTATATTGATTATTAACTATTAATTACATTAATACACAAATACGTAATTAGTGTATTATATGTATGATTTTTATACAAAATATGTATATTTTTCACAGTCAGTGCTTTTATCTGTAAATTATTAATATTTAATAACATATTTTATATATCCAATTGCAGGAAATTATGCTTACATTTAAGCATAAAAAGTATACCGTAGCGTTGATATGCATAGCAAAATTATGGTTTATTACGAGAATGTTATATAATCATGTTCTCTGTAAACCGGTGAATGATTCATTGAAAATAACGGACGAATCATTATATATCATTCACTTGGTACGTGAATACTAAACGTCATATGACGTTAATACTATTCAAATTGAAATACTTAGAATTCTTGTGAAGTCAAAATTAAGAGATATTTATTTGTAATAACAATAACATTCGTAAGATTTTGGCAATATTTTTTACCGTTATTTATTTTCAACTTTTTATTGCATTTATATTCTTTATCTTAATCCAAAAATCAATTTTAGTTATATGCATAATTAGATATATTATTATTATAAAATAAATCAGTTACTGATCAATGTTTCTTGTCTTAAATAAATATACATAATTATACGTAAATATAAATATTATACGTAATTATATTGTCTGTAAATACAGCAGCATAAATTTAATCTTTTTTATAATTTTAATGCTTATTTTCACGATTACATTTTTTTGCGCAATCTTCACTGAAAAGATTTTCCTTTATGTGACATTAAAATAATTTCAATATTAAAGTAATTTAATAAGCATTTGAGGAGTTAATTCTATAATCTTGTATTAAATTAATAAATAAATTAAACCCTTTTGGATAAGATAAGATATGTACATTATGTGTGCATGTATATGTTTATACAGAATATTACGACATTCTATCTAACATGTGAACTTAATCTGATGATTATCCTGATAGATAATTATAATTTATTTGACTTACCAAATATTCTGAGAATAAAAATTATATAAAGATCACACGATTTACTGTTTCAGTAAATGTAATTGCTGAAAAGTATTGAAAAGATTGCTGAAAAAGTATTTTAATTTTAAAAATTAAAAAATTTAAATTTCATGTATCTAAAATATCTAAAAGTTTCATATACTAAAGAAGAATTTTCGAACAATTTATAAAATAATATTGTTAAAAGAGGCTGCAGAGTTTGGGTAAAGTATTAATATAAAATTTATTAAATGTGTTTTCAAAGTTAATTCATCTCAATGAAAAATATACTTTAAAGCCCTTATTCTCTAATTTTTTAAAATAATTTAAACATTATATTAATCAACATTTGAATTGGCATAAAAACTTTTAATTTTTTATTTCTTTGCTGTACTGAGTATGTATAGAAACAAAGCTTAAATGTTCTTGTTAAATTCGAAAAGTTAAACTTAATAAAAAAAAATTTGATTATTGAATAATTTAAAAATTACAATATGTTTTGGTGTATTACTGAATAATTATCATGAAGTAAAAATATGTAGAATATGTGAAAGTCTTTGAAATTATTTTAAAGTTTGAACGTGAATAGTGTTTCAAGTTGTTCGTATTGATCGAATTCTAATAAAGAGATGAATCAGTTTTTATTGAGTTTTAGCATTTGGTGTTGCTATGTGCAACGCAAGAGGGGAGACTCCCATTTCCTAGGTCCATTATTCTGCGGAAAGAGATTCGATCATTCCCAAGGTCAGTGTTGCTCGAGGCATATTCATAAAATAAAATTAATTCACTTGAATCGAAGTACATCATATTATTTCACACGAAACATTATAATTAGAATTTTATTCGAATAATAAGTACGAATAAAAAATTGGAAAATAATTATTTTTTGTGATAAATCTTTCCAATTAATTTTTTATTTTTTGTACAAACGGGGCCTTTTAGAAGAAATAGTGTCTTTTCTTCTAATTATAATTTAATTAAATAGTCACATTGCATTGACTCAGATAAGTATTCTTGCCAAATATTTGCTAACGATAAATAACTTACTTTTCATTGTTCCTATTCCTTTCTACATTTATGCGTACGACGAATCTAACTTTGCATAAAAATTTACATGAAAAGAGTGCAAATAGTGCAATTTTATCAAATAGTGCAATTTGCGTTTACTGTTTCAAATACCACGTTTCTGAATCATTTATATATAAGTATATGTGTGTGTATATATGTATAAACATATTATTAAATGAATCATATTTTATAAAAATATTGAATTGTGAACTGCAGTTAAGTATTTCAATTTCCTTTGTTAATAAGACAATAATGAAATAGATTTTCTTTAAAATATATTATACGTACAGAATAAGTAATAATAAAGAAAAGGATAAAAAAGATAAATTTTAGCAATCCAAAAACGATTTATAAATTAGCTTATTGAAAAGCTGCCAATTGAAAATTACAATTAAATATTTCGACCTTTTTCGTAATAAGAGAATCAATGCATTTTTTTTTTTTTTTTTTTTTAGAATACACCTAGTAACGATGTATTCTATTTGTTGTCGAGGAAGAAAAGCATGGTATTTAAAACAGTAATTTCTTTATACCGCGTGCCTCGACTTCCGTAGTAGGGACGCGCGTCGACACAATTACGTACGACGTGCGAGAAAGGTGACAGAGAGAGAGAGAAAAAAAAAAAAAGGGAACTTTTCCCCATAAACGGACACAGGTTGTGTTCTTAAATAAAACATCTTGGCAACTTCAATCGTCTATTTATATTTCTGAATTCCTACTGACATCCGATCGTACAGACACTCGCACGTGGGAGCGGCGCAGCTAAGTTTCGAAAATTTAAAAATAACTTCTATCGTCGAGGAGGAAACGGATATACGTGTAGAAATGGACAAAAATTCACGCGTACTCGCGTGCGTAGACGTAATTTTATGTTCGAGTTACATAGTCGATGATACACGCAATGTATACTCTCGTTATGAGTCTAATTGATAATTGTTATGGTTACAGTCGTGTTTCATCGTGATATTCTTTTCTTTTTTCTCTGTTTTTTTTTTTTTTTTTTTTTTTTTTTTTTTTTCTTTTACGGAAACCTCGCCGATGTTCATTCGGAGTTCGCCAGTTTTTTTCATCAGTTTCGCAGCATCAAGTCTCTTTAATAAACGATCCCGTCGTAATAAACTGCGCTTTGCCTCTGACGCGCGAAACAACACGACAGTCTGTTTTCCTACTTCCGGGCAAAGCGACTTGAAACGCGGTATAAAGGACGCGGAAAGTAATTTTTATTTTATTACCAGAGACCGCGGCGTTTCTTACCGGAATGTAATTTCCCCTTTCGAGAACTTTAATTAACTTCTTTGGCCCGTGCCTTGGGGCGCAAAGGGGTCGGGGTGGGTGACGGGAGCGACAGTTTAAATAGTTCGTTAAAGGTGGATGGTAACTAAAAATACGACGGGTTTAAAGTCCCCGCAAAGGAACAGGGGCGCGTCCCTCGTTGAAACCGCGAGACGTTCTGACGAGGTGGTTTAAACGACTCGTTTCGTCGACTGGAATTTATATCTGGAATAATACGACTTTGATGCAAAAGTCGTCCCCGTGGTGAAACCGGGCTCGTGCCAACGCTAAAGAAAACACTGGTACTCGGGAGGTGGTATCGATCGCGACCGGCTGGTGAAAACACACACAGAGAAAATAACGAAAATCGCGGCAAAATATTTGTAAGACGACAATATTTGCTTTTCGACGTTGAACAACCGACGATAGCTCCCCGGTGGTCTATCCGAGGTAGTCGCAAGGGGCAATCGTCGAACACGAAGCTCTCGAGGCTCCTTTATCAATCTAGTTACCCTCATTATCTCACGGAAGGATGCGGAAACGGTCGACCCAGCCATACCAGACGACGTTCGATCGACCTCTATAAAATCATTCTCTCGGCGACACGTTCTACGAACGAACGAACGAACGATCGCGAACGTGTTTTCAATCGCAGATCGAGATTCCCTGGATATTGTAGTCAGAGCGTAGTTTGGAAGCGAGGCTTCGCAATTGTTGTTGTTCAATTACGTTGAAACGTAGCGGGATGCGATAGATGAAGCCTGGACCTGATCGATCGACTGGGTCAACTACGCGGCTGCCTAATCATATCCGTTTCGCTCCGAGGAATACACTTATCCTGTCGTGTACGAGGAAAGACTTTTCTCGCCGGGGGGGAAGAACAGAGTCAGCGAAGTTGATCGAGTCGAAAGGAGCCCAGGGGATTCGGAGAAGAAAATCGCGTGGCGACGCGCGATGGGCAGAAGCTGACGCGGCAGAGGTATGAATCTGAAAAGGTATGGGCTACGTTCACGCGACGATGATTTACGGGCGTATTAGGTCGATAAGATATCTTCCGGTTCGTTGACCCGAAGGAAGCTCTATTTTTAAGACGCCTCGCGGAGACACCTCTCTCCATCTTCCTACCGCCAACCTCCTCACGACCTCCACCCCCTCCGCCCCTCCACTCATCCATCCGCCTTGGCCATGGATCTTGTCACGGATTCCGGTTTTTGAGGAGCGTCCGATAAAACAGCCAGCGGAGGAAACAACCAGCGAGCGTGTATATATATATATATATATATATATATATATATATATATATATATATTCTCCGGCGTTCGCAAACGAGCGACCGGCTTATCCGTGAAACGGAAACGATACCGCCGCGTCGAGAACCAACCCCGATAAGACGGACTCTTTTTATTTTTATAGCCGCGGCTCGGTCTAGGGAGGTTCGAACAATTCCATCGATCGACCTCGTGGCGGCTCTCTCGCGCGCGGCCATTATGCGGAAAGATGAGAGAGAAAGAGAGAAAGAGAGAAAGAGAGAGAACTTTCGGTCCGTATACCGAGGAAGAACGTCTCGTTTCGAAAAACGTCGTGTGAGATGAGTATTCAACCACTGGCAAACTATCAGCGAGGAATCGCATTCCGCTCATCTTCTGGTGCCAGAGTTACGTCAATTCTGGAACGGAGTAGTTGGTGCCCAGGTGCGTCAAAGCCGGCGACGACGACGACGAGGACGCGAAGCAAATCACGGGCCCGATGGGAATAAATATTTCATACTGTCGAAGACGGTAGCATCTTCCGATCGGGAGGATGAATTATTCCGTCTAAGAACGAAACTGCTGTTGGCTGCGATCGGTTCGCGCGGCCACGAACCAGCCCAACCCTCCGCTCAACGATGTTTAATGTAAAACGAGCGTCGCCGAGGATTTTGTTGGAGAAACGCGAACGTGACAGGTTCTCCACCTCGTTTCGCCGCCGCCGAAACTTTTTCTCCCTAAACGAAGTCCCGAGGTATCCGTCCTCCCACGAGAAGGAAATCACGATCGGAAGGCAGCCACGGAGGAAACTGATGAATATCTCCATATCGGCGCGATCAATCAAAACAACGTGTCGTTCTGTGAAATGGAAAAACGATCTTCCCTCTCTTTCCTCCCGAGGGAAGATCCCAGAAGAAGAACACGACTGAATACGTCTTTGAACGTAACGTGCTGATTTCAATGACAATTTTACGATTAAAAATGAAGAATTTTAACCCCTTGGCCACTGTTGGCGCCTATCCGGCAAATGTTATTGACAATAATTGCAACAAAAGAATATTGGATCAGACGAATTCTAATTAAACAATTACATCTTCCGTTGGTCATTAATTAATTATTTGAACGTGATTATTTTACAGTTATTTCATTTAATATCTTAAAATGAAAGGGTGTAGTAATAGATTAAACATAACGAAAGAAGGAAGACACATTACGAATACAAGAAATGTAATAGACTGTTAGATATATTATGAAATAAAGCTTAAAGTTACAATTTTTAGCACGTGCACTAACAATTCGATACAGAATAAATAAATAACATTGGTTCGCTATATTCAGTGTTTCGATTGTTTCAATATAACTTTCTCGTAAACTCTGAATTAGAATTTCTGATCCGAAAACGTACGCTGACGAAAAATTTCGTCGTTCGTCAATGTAGATCGTGATTCAAAGCCTGCCGTAGCCAAGGGGTTAATCAGACAACGACGATAGTTGACGTTATGATGCAGAGGATGTCGAAGTTCTTTTCAAAGTTAAAAACACGCAATTACCCGATAACATTCAAATCAACCGAGGAAACAACTTTCTAGCAAAGAGTGGGAAGTCTGATCTTTATCGTGATCTTTCCCCGCCAGCCTTCGCGTGCGAATTGAACGAGAGCATCGTCAAACAAGGGACGGTGATAGCGCGTTCGCGAGAACAGACAACGAGAAGGGGAAGGAAGATAGAGGAGGAAGCAAAGCAAGCGGACAACATAATGCAGATAACGAGGAAGAAGTTTCGCGTGCCTGCTCTGACAGTGACGTCTCTGCTAACGATGGCACCGACGCTGTTGACGGCGAAACACTTATAAATAGCCCAGTGGACGTCCTGTCGGAAGACCTCCGCCTCGAAGCCAGGAAAGTGGATCGTCCCGTTGCCAAGGACGTGTCTGATTCCAGGGATACTCGTTATACTGCCGCCGTCCGCTGCCAGCCAGTCGACGGTAGGTGCCGGATTTCCTCTCACTATGCAGTCCACTCGGCCGCCGTTCACGTTCGTGAATTCCACCCGCGACGGCGGCTCCGTCACGAAGCTCGGTCCCTGCATCTCGTACGAGGCGTCGCAACCTGCAACCAAACCAAAACAGGTATCGTCATAACGAGCCCAGAGTTCTCTTATACAACCTTATCCATTCTCCTTATCCTTTACCTCTTTTCCAAATATACCTGTCGAGTATAGTCACGACTGGTGTCGATCGTATTATACCCCTTGGGATTCGAAGGGCCATCCATGGATGGATCTTGCTAAACCTGTGATTTATTGTCAACTTATTATTGTCGACTACCTGTGTAACTGTGACAACTAATTTGACCAGCTGACTAACTTGTAGTGATGTACATATTGATTATAAAAACTGTGGATACTGTATATAAAAACTATATAACTGCGACTGACTGACTGAATGGCGATCGTTGTAATTAGTGACTACTTGCATATGATAGAAAAACTGTAACTCTCTGATCACTGTCGTGATACTCTTTCAACTGTGCCTGACTAATTGCATATAGTCCCTTTTGTCAAGTCTTGGAAAAGCTGTAGAGCGACTGTCTTCTGAAAATTTTTTCTGATCCCGTATATACATGATGTGTATCATCGCACTTGAGGCTTATCCAAATTTATGGCGTCTTACATCTTGTTTGAAGTTTTCTGAGTCGTCAAATTTCTGATTTGCCACATCCATGTCACACATAAGCATTACGTACCCTTTGCCTTTCATCTTTCATCTTTCATCAGACCGACACCTTTTGGAAAGTGTCGGATACGCACATTTCTCGTATTCTGCCTCTTGTAAAAGAATTGGCCTAATATCCTTCGTTGCTGAATTACGTAATTAAGTCTACGAACATTTCTTTCTTTCTTTTTTTCTTTCGTTCTTTTTCAATCGTATTGGACTATTTCTAAAGTTGGAAATCTTCGCGACTACAGTTGAAAAATTTTTGATAATAATTTTTGTCGATCGATCGTTTGGTTGGTAGACATTGTACAGAAGTTTCCAAGAACACGTGAGCATCACAGGGATTACGATTGCAACAATTTACGATATTAATCAGTCGCAGTGGCATTAATCATCTAAATTCAGTTCGCCTTATTGTTTACGGCGGTTACGTGACGGTCCTACATTCGCGCCCGCAATTCTCGCAAGCATTTACACCGCTGTCCTTTGCGTACTGTAACCTTTGACCCACATAGCCTCCACTGTCTCGACGTTTGCTACATAATCTCGTTATGTCACAGCTCCACTAGCAAGCCCCGAAGAAAACGCCGTTCCAACTTTTTTTCCTTTGTACTTCACCGACGTTCTCTGTAGCGACATTAATGACGTAAAAGTTATTGTTTAGCTTTGTTTTCACTAAAAAGAAAAAGAGAAAAAGGAAAAAAAATGAAGAACATAAGAAGGCTACTACGAGACTAATACTCGACTTGCTCGTGTGTTTTTACTCATTTTCATTACACGGATAATAAAAATTATCACGTCGTTTCAATGCGACGTCTCAAATAATCCGAATAAGCCCCCACCACCCTCGCTCGAAGAAAAGCTCGAATTATCTCCAACAAAAACGTATCGTAAGCTTCGGTAACTAACGATCGATCGGTAATCGCGGGTCGAAGGACTGCGAGTGGATTTTAATGAAACGCGATTAGCAGTTCGTTCGTAAATTCAGGCCGGCCTGGCAGTTGTTTCATTCAAACGACTCTCGGATGGACGCGGGTCGAAATAAATTTTCCTTACTGTTTCAATCGGCAGTTAGAAGGACATTAATCATGGCGGCAGCGCGTGGACACACACCGGCTGATGAATTTTTTTTTTTTTTTCGCTCGGCTAGCCGAGTTCAAAGTAATTTTCAGAAATGCAGGCACCGGGGAACGTAGGCGGCAACCGACGCAGAAGCGAGCAAAAGAGAGGGGGCGCATCGCTGTATCGTCGACGGGACATGAACGAAGATAATACGGGTGGTCATAAATCACACATTTAACGCTGAAATTCGGCCGTAATAGCTTCCATAAATGGAGCGCATTGCGTCCCCCCGCGAAGCCTGTTAACCATTCATCACCCGAGTTATGTTGATTTAAGTAGGAATGCCGGTACGCCTGGATGTATTCCGCATTCCGTCCAACATTGCCCATCTGGAAGCCAGCCCAACGAACTACGCTGAATACCCGGAGGAACGTGCGACGAATAGGGCGCGCCTGCTTCGCCGTGTGTGACGGCGTTACGTTTTAGTTAATAATGTCTGTCGGACACCGCCGACACTTCCAAAAACAAAAAGACACGGTCGTACGTAGAAAAATTGCAATCCTTCACCCTTGATGTCGCAATACTGTTGTCTGACACCGTTGTTAAGTAATTGAATTGAAAAATACCATTGACAAAAATGTCCTTGTTGCAATCTTTGCGTTAAAGTAATAAGATTCGGAGACTATGACAGGTATTAAAATGCAATTCAAAGTTATTTCAATGACACCTGATTATCGGTGATAATACTGATTATCTGAAAAGGTATCAAGTAATTGAATTGAAAAATACCATTGACAAAAATATCCTTGTTGCAATCTTTGCGTTAAAGTAATAAGATTCCGAGACTATGGCACGTATTAAAATGCAATTCAAAGTTATTTCAATGACACCTGATTATCGGTGATAATACTGACTATATGAAAAAGTATCAAGTAACTGAATTGAAAAATACCATTGACAAAAATATCCTTGTTGCAATCTTTGCGTTAAAGTAATAAGATTCCGAGACTATGACAAGTATTAAAATGCAATTCAAAGTTATTTCAATGACACTTGATTATCGGTGATAATACTGATCACGTGAAAAGAGTAACTGAATGATTAAAAGTAATATAGAGTAATTGAATTGAAACATATCATCCACTTCAAAAAAGTATTAAAAACTCCTTATCTAACAAATAATACAAAGATTATTTGAAAACTACATTTCCTGGCAGGGATTAAGGTACAATTCGAAAGTATTTCAATGACGCGAGATCAACGATGGTAACGCCGATCACGTGAAAAGTTATTGAGTAATTGAATTAAAACGTATCGTACAAGCGAGGAGAATAATTGAAAGATCCTTATTAACGAGATTCAAAGGCTGTAGGGATTAAAATGCAATTAAAAATTATTTCAACGACGCACCATGATTACCGGTGGTAGAAAAACGGTGGCGAAAGACGTTCTTGTCCCCGATCGACGCGAAGACGAGGAACATTTCTCTCCATTTAAAATCTTTCCGCGAGAAGTCCGCGTTAATTAACTTCCCCCCTCGACACGCCAGTTCCAGAGACAAAGCTTGCAATCCGCGACGCGACAATCCTTATCCGCGAAAGCCACGAGACTTTCCAAATAACGAAGAGTTCCTGCCGGTCTCACGAAGCTCTTTTCTGCTCGGTTTATTTCCAAGACGCGCTCCTCGAAGGAAGTATTATACGAAGCTACCGGGCCACGATCGCGAGAGTTGATCGCGCTCTGTATCCTTAACAAAAAATGAAATTGTATCATCCTTCGCGAGAGCCGTATTATTCGAGGTAAGAGTCACCTCTCTTCCCGCAATTTCTACAACCGCCGTCGTCCCTCCTCCTCGAGACTTTCTTCTTTTCTTCTCTTGCGCAGATAGTAATACCTTGTGGCCTACGTACATCCCCCTGGTTATTCGCGCAACAATTTTTCACCGAGTAGCGTAACTCTGCGCTTTCCCTCCAGAGAAGTCCATTTCGCATCATAAAGGTAACTTAATTTCCTATAACGTCAGACGCACGTCGACCAAACACCCCTCCCTTCTCGCTCCTCTTTCGTAATTCGACGTTCGATTAATGCACGCCAGCTGTAACATCGCGAGTCGTCGTGCGAGGGATACCAGCAAACGAATTTTACTAACGAACGTTCCTGTTTTCTCGCTTTCGTGAAGAGAAATCAAGATTATAAACTTATAAAGAGAGAGAGAGAGAGAGAGAGAGAGAGAAAGAGAGGGAAGAACGCTAGCTGGAAAGTTAAATTAGGTACACAATGAAAACGACTAGAAATCGCACGGGGCGGAGAACCGAATGAAAATGGAAGTTTACGAGAAATTTCCATATTCGCCCCTGTACGTCCGTTTTTTTTTTTTTTCTTTTTTTTTTTTTTTTTTTTTTTTTC